CAGAGACAGTGCATATGAGACAGAAAGGTGCCAAGAAGCTGGCATTAGGTTGAGGCCTACAGCCCCTTTTACCCTCCCTCCGTGAAAGAATGTGGCGAAGGAGGGCAAGAGAAGCAGCACTGACCCAGACAAAAACCACGTTTATTTCACAAACACTGGGAAGATGGGTTGCGGGGTAGAGGTGAGACACAGGTGCACAGCTGCACATGGTCATTGGCGACCCACTCCCCGCACTGAGGCTCCAGCCAGGCAGTGCCTCCAAGCTGATGGACAGCAAGAAGCAAGTGCAGGGAAGGGCCCTGAACACCAAGCCCCCTGAAAGGCCAAGGGTGACAGCTCCAGCTGTCCTGGGAAAACCACAAATAAATAAGAGTGGGACACGGTCCCACCCAAACAGATCATCTAGTCACCCATCTTCACTCTGGAAGTCTGCAAAAGAAGAACAAGGAGAAATCAGGCAGTGACAGAGGAATAGATAAGACAGTGACAAATGACATAAGGTCAGTTCTGGCAAACCCATGGTGGGATGGAGAGACCACAACAGATGGATGACTGGACCAAGATGGATATGCTGTGACAAACACAGATGAACAGGGACAGTCAGATAACCAGAGAGTTAGGCTGTGGGACAGAGATGGAGAAGTGGCATACGGACAGGACCAGTTACCAAGAATCAACCCAGCTAAGCACTCAGTCACATTCAGACCATCAGGCTGATCCTTAGCAACACTTACACGTTCTAAGACAAGATGCACACAATTCAGACACACTGTCCTACTGAGAGCACAGATACACACAGGCCTTGAGACACATAGTCAAACACACCAAGACAGACTGACACACAGACAAGATCCCAATCCAGGCTAGACTACAAAGACAAAAAATAATAAAAAGCCTCAACAAAAGCCCTATAGACACAAAGGAGCAGGGAAATACACATTACACTAGTCAATGATACCACGCTGGAAAGCTTCAAAAGAGGAAAACCAAAAAATGGGAATAAAGTGGTGGGAGCTGCTCAGGGGTTCTCTGGTTACAGATGGAGAAGGGGACACCGTGGCTCCTCTGGAAAGAGAGTGAGGCTGGGTTGGAGACAAGGACACAGGCTCCCAGGGGATTCATCACCTGAAGGATTGCAACAATGACGCCGAAGAGGCCAATGGCACTGCCAAAGATCTCCACGATGAGAATCTTTACAAAGAGGCTGGGGTTCTGTGCATCAGCCAGGGCGGCTCCACTGCCCACGATGCCCACGCAGACTCCACAGAAGAGGTTAGACAGGCCCACTGTGAGACCAGCTCCAAACATGGAGTAGCCTGAGGGGACAGAAAAAGAGTACTGAGGCCAAGCCAGGCACAAGGGGAGAGGAGGACAAGGGCCCAAATGGACTAATGGGGCTTATCACCACTCCCAACTCTGCAAAGCAGGCCGAACAAAGGGAGTGAATATTGAAATAATGAGTCTAAGCCAGGGCATGGAAGTGGGGAAGCAGACATGAAGCCCCAGCTTTTTTCCTTCACACATCCACCTACCTGCATGGTAGTTTCGATGCCCAATGGCCTGGGGGTCAGTGGCACTGAAAGGCTGCGGGAGGCAGAGAAGTAATCAGAAACCACCCCTTATGCCACTCCCCCTCCTCCAGTATCACTAAACACTGTATAGAACACACTGGCGTAGATGCCCACCCCACCCTGGTTCTCCATACCTCAGCCATGTTACTAATTACAATTGCCATGATGATGCCATAGATGGCCACAGCCTCACAGAAGATGATGCTGGTAGTGGTGAGCATGGGGGTAGAGAGGAGAAAAGGATTAGAAAGAAACCAACCTTCCTCCCCCAGAGAGTTCCCAGCCAACATTTGCCCCACTGACATCTCCCACCCCACCAGGAGGCTGGTCAGAAGCAGCATGTCAGGTCAAACAAACAGGGAGCTCCCAATGCAGGTGGTTCTGACAACCCTCCAAAGGCCCTACATTTACCTGACCAGGTTCTTGGTCTTGATCCTGGGGGCCTTCACCCCTCCCCCAATGATAGAAGAGCCAGTAATATAGATGCCCCTGGTGGAAGGATAAAAAACCGATGAGCAGAGCCCAAGTTTGTCACTGCCCCCAGGATGACTAAGGACCCACTGACACCACTTGCTATGACTCACCCCTCCCCCCAGTCCCACCACCCCAATACTCACCATGCTGCCCCAACCACAGACAGGGAGATAGCTAGACCAATGCCCAAGTTTGACCACATGAAGGGGGAAGTCTCAGTCAGGAACCTGGTGTGGAAACAAGGAGGAAAGCAATTGCAGCCTTGGTGGAGAAGTGAGCACAAAATCCATCCCCCAACCCTCCAAGCCCACCAGTCCTGGATGCTGAGATAAAATACATCATATGTCCCAAAGGTCCATATCCCAGGCACCTGGGGATGGGGTGGAGTAGGGGCTTAGGTCAGTGAAGAAAAGCTGCAAAGAAGCCACTAGAGGAGTCCTCTCTCTGCAGGCCCTTACCATGCCACATCGAAGCGGAAACCCAAGTCAAAAATGGTGTAGCAGATTCCTGCAGGAGTAGGAAAAAAAGGGTTAGAGGCGGCTCTCGAGAGAGAAACTTCCCAACTTAGACAAGAAATTGCTGTCCAGCTGCCACGTCCCCAAAGGTCTGCCTACAGGTAAGTCAAGGGAGACTCGTCAGGCTGGCCTCCGTGTGAAAGCACGGCTATCTATTCAGACTCCTCAGTTCAGGCCTCCATTTTCTGCCACTCCCTCAGTAATCCATCTTCCCCCAATGACACCACCTCCCAGACCAAGACTCTCCACGACCAGCTACTTGTAGGCCTGAATACCCTGGAGAAAGGGAGAGGGCACCGGATCCCACCAGCCCGATCCGAGCCGCTGTTTACCCAACAAGCTGTGGGTGGGGAGAGGGAAAAGAGGAACTGCAACAGCCGGCTCGTGACCCAAGCAGGCCCCTCTGTAGCAAGCGAGGGATCGCAGCAGTGAGACGGGGGCAGGGGCCGGTAGTGACAGAGAGGTACCGGGGCTGCTCTCGCGGCTCCCACCTCCCCCCGTCCGCGCCCCTCCTCAAGGGGCTGGAGATCCGGGTCTCCTCTGTCAGGGTCAGAAGCCCCGACAGGCGCGAGGCAAGTCCTGGAGCCTCGGGCACAGAGCCCACGCTGGGGCCTAGCATTCCTGGGACCCCACTTCTCCCGCTGGGCTCCAGCCCCGCCAGCAGGGCCCGGATGCTGGCCCCGCCCGCCAGGGCCCGGCCTCACCCACGACGAGCATGCAGGCCCAAAAGGCCACGAAGACCCCGGAGTAGAGCAGCGCTAGCCCCGTCATGGCGGCAACGACGGCGGGTCTCTGGTCCGTGGGGCCACAGCCAAACCCGAGTCCCTGCGTCCACCGTCCGCCCCGCAGTCTGTCCACCCGCCCCGCAGCGTCACCTGACTCACCCACGTGACGCGCCGGCACCACGTGACCACACGCCCGGCCCTGCGCGGCGCGGTTGCCAGTCCAGAACTTTGGCAACGCCGGAACTGCAAGCACTGAGGATTGTGGTTGTTGTAGTCCCTCGCTTCGGAAGAGGCTCCGGCGTCCCTAGTACCTCGACCTCTTGCCGGTTACTCTCACGTTTCTCCAAACCGCTCCTCCTGAGCCCTGACAGCACCACTTGGGCTCACCAGCCCTGCTTCTTTACACCGGGGTCTCCTCGCGGGCCTCTCTAACTTAGCTTCCAAGCCAGTGCTGATTCCATGGGCCTCTTCCCTTTCTGTCCTCTCCAGTTCAGTGGGGGTGTCTTGCTCTTCCTAACTTTGCTCAAGCAAGCTTCTTCGTGTTCATCCCCTTGCCCAGCTAACACCTATTGGTCCCCAGAAGGCACTCTTCCAGGAAGCCTTCCCTAACCCAGAGGCAGGGTGATGAGCCTGCTCTGGGCTCCCCTGCTGTCCTGGTGATACTTATGAAGCTTACCATCATGTCACTCTTTGGTTTAAAATACCATTTCAGGGGTGCCTGGGAGGCTCAGTCAGTTAAGCATCTGCCTTGGCTCAGGTCATAATCCTGGGGTCCTAGGATAGAGCCCTGCATCAGGCTCCCTGCTCAGTGGGAGCCTGCTTCTCCCTCTCCCTCTGCCGCTCCCCCTGCTTGTGCTCTCAAATAAATAAAATCTTTAATAAAAACAAAATAAAATGCCATTTCACTCAATAAACATCACAGTCCTAATAATGGCCTACTACTATACTAGGCTTCTCCTGATACAGCTTCCCATGCCCCTTACCTGATCTCATCTAATACTCCCCCACTAACTGCACTAGCCTCCTTGCTATTCCTTGGACATACCAGCCATACCCCCACTACAACACCCTTGCATTTGTTCCCTCTGCTTCTACTTATCCATGTGGCTCACTCCATAACCTCCTTTGTCTTTGCTCACCTTCAAAAGGCCTTCCCTAATCATCTTGTTTAATATCGCAATCCACTGTCCTTTACACTCCTTTCCAGCTTTATAGTCCTCCATAGTACTTACTTATCACCATTTGACATACTAAGTATCTTATTTTGTCCATCTCTTCCCCCAGCCCCCGTAAGAACGTAAGCACCATGAAAGGGTTTCTGTTGAGCTTACTGTATTCCCAGTGCCTGGTACACAGTGGGTGCTCCATATATATTTGTAAAATACATAATTGCTGCCCATTTTGTCTGCTGCCAGTCACTTTACAGATCTGCCTCTACCAGTAGACTGGGCACCCCCGAGATCAAGGACCACATCTCCCTGTTTACCTGCTTCTTCAACACTTTGGACAGTGCCAGTAGGCCAAGATTCTCTGCAAACCTGGTAATGAAGAAGTGCCCCCAGGGGCTTCCCTCCTCACAGAAAGTAGTTTCACTGTCTTGTAATTGCTTATTTAACTGCCTCTCTTCCTAACTACACTGTGAGGACAGGAAGCCAGTTAAATACAATTCAGAACTCCACTCAGGACCTGTAGTGTTTGATGAATATAAAGAAACAGAAGGAGAAAAAGTAGTTTATTCAATGTCTGTGATCTCCCTGAGAAACAAAATTAGAATCAGTACAGACCAGCACTGTCCAACAGAACTTTCTGCAATAATGGAAATGTCCTATAGCTGCACTGTCCCCTCATATGGCTAGACGACCATTGAAATGTGACTAGTGTGACTGAGAAACTGAGTTTTTATTTTTAAAGTTTACTTTTTTAGTAATCTGTACACCCATCATGAGGTTTGAACTCATGACCCCGAGATCAAGAGTTGCACGCTTTTCTAGCTGAGCCAGCCAGGCACTCTGAGAAACTGAGTTTTTAATTTTAACTAATTTAAATTCATGTTTAATAGCCATATATGTCTAGTGGTTACTTTACTGGACAACACAGGTGTAGACCAGTGGTTCTCAACTAGGGGCAGCTTTGCCCCCACAGGAGACATTTGTCAATGTCTGGAGGCATTTTCGGTTATCACCAAAATATGGGGAGGGGTATGTTGGGGGCATCTAGTGGGCAGAAGCCAGAGACAGTGCTAAACATACTACAGCGCACAGAACAGCCCCTCACAGCAAAGATTTATCTGGCCCAAAACATCAACAGTACCAAAGTTAGGAAACCCTGGTCTATATCTAGAACCTTTGACAAGGGTAAACCCTCAACTGCACATCAGAAACTGGGACTGGCCAGAAACTTGTGGGCCCCCAGATGGGCCCACAAGACTTTAGGAAAGCCCCAAATAAGTCCCATCAGTCCAACAGGTATTTATTAAGCCACTATATGCTAAGCCTTGTGCCAGGGCCAGGACAGGGACAGAGCAGGATTCCCTTCCTCAATGAGGGGCTGTCTGCTCTTCCCTGCATCCAGGCTCCTTCAAGGATCCTAGCAGAGGAGTGAGGTTGATGCAGGGAGGTTTTTGCAGCAATTCTTAAGTCCATCTGTGTCTCTGGCCCCACACGTTATCAGCTGCTTCCCTCATTCTCGTAGGCGATGGCAATCCCTCGTCTTCCACTCACAGCTCCTGTCACCGGTGTCTGACCCAGACGGGGCTCCAGACCCTGCCAGCTCCGGGAACTAAGGAACAAGGCTGCAGAGAGAGGGGACTGAGGCCAAGTGGGCCGAATCTGGGGAAAGTCTCAGCTGGGAGCAGAGACTTGGCACACTTACCTGCAGGGCTGCTCTCAGCCAGCTCTAGCTGGGGCCGCAAGGTCAGGGCCAAACACCCAGGATCATCTGAGGGCTTCCACGCAGGTGGGGGTCGGAGTTCCCCAGTAATAAGTGACACAGCTGGGGTGTCCCACAGTTCCGAGTCAGGTGGTGGGAGGGGCACGTGGAAGGGAGAGCCTAGGAGGGAGAAAGAGGATCCATACTGGCCCAATTCCATGCCCCTGAGTTTCCAGCTCAGGCAGTACCCCAGCACTCACCAGGCAATAAATCCGCGTAATGTGTGAGGTGGGGAGCCAGGCCTGAAGGTGGCCAGGCAGGGTTGCAGGCAGCTTCCAGCTCACATGGTGCCAATACAGGCCGGAAGAAGCCACCAGAAGGCTGTGGAGCTAGAGCACCAAGAGGGCAGGCCAAGAGCACAAAGACATCCACCTCAGGGAAGTTGGCGAGCTTGGGAGGTGTGGGCCGCCCCAGGGCCAACACATAGCTACGCTTGCCTGCAGCCTGAGCCAGGTTCCGCAAGTGTGCCAGTGCCTCACGGTGTCGGGCCACACCCAGTGTCCCTGCCAACAGCCCTACCACACGGGCATCTCTGGCCCTCTCTACCAGATAGTGTCTACGTGCCCTTAGCCGCCCAGCCCGGACACCTTCATCCTGAGTCCGCCCTGTATCCGGACAGCAGGTGAAGAAGGGCTGCCCTGGTGCCCAGCCCAAGAGCAGCCGGCTCAGGTCTGGGTCAAGGTCAAGGTCAGCACTGGCTTCAGAGCCCCCCACATAGAAGGCACCATATTCTTCCAGACACCTCCCTGGAGCCAGGGGAAAGCGGCGCCCAAAACGCTCCAGGGGCTCAGGCTCCGGCCTACAGGAGCCCACTGGCAATGGAAGAGCTGGGCTGGAGACAAGCAGGTCCGGGTACTGCGGGCGCAGAAGAGTGGCCAAGGCCTCTGGAAGAAGGAAGTGATGTCAGAGTTGGGGTCTACCAAAGCAGGAACCCCTTCACCCCAGGAGACTGAATATGACCCAAAAGCAAAGACGGGATTAAGCCCATATCAAGAGCTCTATGGGAGTGTACTGAAATGGGAATATCAAGGCATAAAATAGTTGGTCTACCCTTCTTGCATGCCCAGGCAAAAACCCTCACCCAAGGCGTGGGCACAGCCCGGCTCACTTAGCAGCACCACAGGCACTTTGGGGTCTGGGTTCTGGGCCTCAAAGGCCTTGACGCAGAGCTCCAAGTGCACAGAACGTTGACCAAGGACGAAGGCCACAGGCAGTGGGCGGGCTGGAGGGCTTAAGCAGGCAGGGCCAAAATGAACAAGGGCCTGAGCTCCAGCTTGCTCAGCACCCAGTACATCCACACAGCAGCTGCAGGGGAGATACCATTAATAAGAAGAGTTCTCATCAGGAAAACAGTTGCTGTGCTTCATGGGAAATGTGAAGCCTGAAATGTGGTCAGTGAAATAAATGATGTTATAAAAGAAGACACTGTCATTCTGAGGAGCAAGTATCAGAAGAGGAGGCATCATCATCAAGGAAAAACACAGCCACTGGGGGCAGACACTGTCATAGAAGGACAACACCAAGAACCTTGGATCACTAGACCTACTCCCCACCCCCTACCCCCGCCCCCAATCCTCAAGCTCAAATTCATACCTTCCATAGGCCGTGTCTCCCAGAATGAACATCTTCGACCCTGTGGTCCCCTCCAGTCGTGCAGCCACGGCCCCAGCATCTCCCAATAGCTGGTCAGGGAACTGCAAGGCCACCTGTAAGTATAAGCCAGAGAGTCAGGAACAGCCTCTCTCCTCCACCCTCTTCCTCTTCAAGGAAAACCTTCCAGGAGTCCCTATCTAACCTTCAAAGCCCCTCCTCCCAGAGGAGCAACTCCCCCCGTCCACCCCCACCCCCCCATCCTCACAAAATTACCCCAACATCCCGATCTTCTGGGCGACCTATCCCGAAGTGAGCCACCCCACCCTAACCTGCCCTCACCCGCCGACACCCCAGGTCGCGGACAAATCCAGCGACTCGCTCCAGCTCGTAGACGCGGTCCAGGTCTTCCGGAGGAGTGAGCAGCCCCGCGGCACCCGCCTCTCGCTGCAGCGCTGCCTCAGCGGGGCTGCTGAACGTAGACTCCATGAGGCACCGCTTGGGTGGCGGGAAGCAGCGGGGACCTCCCTCGGTCAGCCTCAGGCCCCGCGTCCTCAAAAGCAGCCCTCAATAAGTCAAAGTCACTTAGTGAGAGCGGCGGGGCTGGGAAGTCAGTGCGCAGCCCTCGGATCCTCCCTCCACGAACCCAAACTCGCGTTTCTCTGCTACACCACTACACACAGGCCGGGGGGGGATTACTTCCGGGTTTTTGAGGCGGGGCTGGCAGTAGTTTTGCCAATCTTAAACTAGCACTGCTCCCGCCTTCCAATCCTCGCCAGGCCTCCCTCAGAGAGCCAATGATCTGCCTCAGAGCAAGTCAATCGGGAGTCCCTCAGGGGAAGGCGCGAAGCCTTGTGGGTGTTGTAGTTCCCCTGGCCCTCTTCTCCAGCCGCTAGTTTTCCGGTTCAGCCCGCCAATCGCGCTCAGAAAAAGTGACCCACCCCCAACCCCCGTGCCTGGCTGGCTGTCAGGAGAGCACGTGACTCTTGATCGCAACGTTGTGAGTTGGAGCCCCACGTTAGGGGTAGAGAGTAAATAAATAAACTTAAAAAAAAAAAGCGACCCCCTGAAGATACTCGTTTGAGCAGCTCCCATCGTGGTACACTGTTAAGCACTTCATTGCACTCTATCACCTAGGAGGTAGCATTGCATAATTTTCAATTCAGGTGTCAAACTGCCTGGGTTTGGATATTGTGCTCTGCCATTGCTACTTAACCTCTCTGTGGCTGTTTCTTCATCTGAAGGTGGGGGTTGTAACAAGAGCATTCCTAACAGGATTGTTGGATCAAATTGATTTAGATATAAAACTTTACAGAGTAGTCCCTTGCATATCATATATACTGAAAGCATTCGCTGTTATCCTCACAGCAGTCTGTTAATCACGTAAATATTGAGCACTTACTGTTCACCAGGTACTACATTCTTAACGTTAACAGTCTTTGGAGTAAGACTTGTCCCAAGAGCGCCTGGCTTGCTCAGTTGGCAGAGCGTGGGACTCTTGATCTCAGGGTTGTGAGTTTGAGGCCCACAGTGGGTATAGAGATTACTTAAAAAAATAATTGTCCCATTTTACAGGTGAGGACATTGAGGTCCTAGTAAGACACAGCAAATCAGTGGCACAATCAATAACAAACCCAGATTTGACTTTAGAAACTAGGCTTTAGGGGGTGCCTGGGTGGCTCAGTCATTAAGCGTCTGCCTTCGGCTCGGGTCATGATCCCAGGGTCCTGGGATCGAGCCCCGCATCAGGCTCCCTGCTCCGCGGGAAGCCTGCTTCTCCCTCTCCCACTCCCCCTGCTTGTGTTCCCTCTCTCGCTGTGTCTCTCTCGGTCAAATAAATAAATATTCTTTTAAAAAAAGAAACTAGGCTTTAGCTCCCTCATTTTCCTAGCTTATATATGCTACATTTGATCATGGGGGATGGGGAAGAAGGCACTTGGATACCATGTAGTAGGAGAAAAGGACTAAAAGAAACATCTCCGCATACTTCAGGAGAAGTGAGAAATCAAGAGTAAGTGAGAATGGGACTGAAGAAGAGCCTCGGGATGGCATATGAAACAGGGACTCCTGCTGGCTGGCATGGAAAGAGAATGAACGGGGATGTACCTCCATTCTTGTGCAAAGATGGGGAAAGAACAGGGGAAGGAATGAGACAAACGTGGGAGTAACCAGCTCTATCACCTCCAAGGAGACACAAAGTTCAGGAATGGAAACGGGGAGATCTGAGCCCTGCTCTTCAGAGCTTACTGAGGAGAAGGCTGGGGTGTCCAAGAGGCAGCATCTGTGGAGCTATGGCTGAGGAGACAGAAAGGGAGGGAACCTTGCTAAGGGGGAAGAGCAACAGCCACCCAGGAGCTGTCCCTGGTCCTGACTGAGCCCTGATCATCAACAGCAGGTCAGGTACCACAGAGGTGGGGAGCTCTGGGTATGAAGACAGCTCTAGGTCTTGCATTCCTCTTCCTCTGGGGGCTGCCACGCTTCCTCCCACACATGCTCAGCCCCACTTTCTATACCTTTCCATGTGCAAGTTTGGCCTCCATAACCCCACATAAGAAACTTATCCTGGGACTTAAAATCACTCTCCATTTCTTCCCTCCAAGCCGGACCCTGCCCCACCTCACTTCCAGCCAAAGGCCCCAAGTCCTCTATCTAGGAAACCTTCCATTTCCATCAGAAATGAAAGTTCTGGGATCCCTGGGTGGCTCAGTCATTAAGCGTCTGCCCTCAGTTCAGGTCATTATCCCAGGGTCCTGGAATCAAGTCCCGCATCAGGCTCCTTGCTCAGTGGGAAGCCTGCCTCTCCCTCTGCCTGCCGTTCCCCCCGCTTGTGCGCGCTCTCTCTCTGACAAATAAATAAATAAAATCTTAAAAAAGAAAGAAAGAAAGAAAGAAATGGAAGTTCCTCCATGCAGCCTTCCCTCACTGGTCCCATTCTCCCAGCTTAACATGGCGGCTATGGACTAGATCAGCCTTTGTTCGGAGAGTACAAGGCAGAACTAGGGGGCTAGTACTCAGCATTGTTGATTTAATAAATGTATGCATGCATGAATGCTGGGACTAATTTAATGGGGGGGGGGAGGTTGCTGATACTACTGCAGTCTCACTCCAACCCACAGGAAATGGCAGTATTATGAACGGTTCCAGCCTAGGAGGCTTGGCTACAATGGACCCCTTCTACCCTAGGAGCTAGAAGTTGGCCCCAAAACTCCCTACTAAGGCCTGGATCCAAACATCCTCCCACCCTTCCCCCAGGCCTTCGCCCAGTTAGGTGGTGGTGGCAGAGGAAAGGTAGCCGAGACAGCAATGCATTGAAGATCCAGGTTTACTCTTTGGGGATAGGGAGGGGTGAGGAGGAGGTGTGGGTGGGACGGGGGCGCCCCTCAGTAGTCAGCTGTATAATCTGTGCCATGTAGCCCCCGGCACAGCAGTGTGAATTCCTTCACCATCTCCTTCACCCGCCTCTTGTTCACTCGCTCACTGAAGAAGGGAAGGGAGATCAGGTTAGTACCAACCACCACCACCGGCCCCTCCTCTGGACCCAAGCCCAGGCCCCGCCAGCTCTGCTCACCGAAGGATCTGCTGGCTGAAGGTGTCCTTCTGTTCAGGGCTGAGGCGGGCAGAGGGAAAACCAGGTGGCTGCAGTGCCTCCTTGATCCACATGCTCAGGAGGCTGAAGCAGTGTTTGTTCAGAGCAAATAGGATGTCGGCAAAGCAGTCCATGAGGCTGCGGGAGGCCTGGCCCCCAATGGCCTGAGGGAAATGGGTTCTCAGCACACCAGGGCCTTGCCCCTTTTGCAGCAAGGGTGCCTAGCCACACCCCACCCACTCCCGGGCAGTTCCTCAGCCAAACGGCACATGACAAGTGAGTGCTGTTTTCTGAGAGCCAGCTGATCCTCACAGCAACCCTAACAACTGTCAGCCATTCAACTGATGAAGAAACAGAGTCAGACAGTTTAGGGAACCAAAGGCTCAAGCTTCCCAGAAGGGGCAGCTGCCTCCGCGGTGAGGGCCACCCCACCCCCCTCCAACACTGGCTCCATCTCACCTCCAGCACTGCTACGAGCAGCATACGGCCATCCTCTTGAACCACTTTCCCTACAGGTTCTACTTCCCCACACCGAGGCAGCAGCTCTGTCTACAGAGGATGGAGAGGCCTGTCAGCCTCGGCTCTTTCCCCACTCTCCTTGGGGACAAGACCGGCACACCACACCCCTACCCTCTGGAGTCCTGAGCAGGGCAGGGCTGGGTATAGGGGTGGCGGGGGGTCAGGACTCAGCATGGAACTCACAAAGAAGCCACAGGAGGCCTTGACAGTAGGTGCCTCAGGGAACTTGAGGGCCAGCACAGCTGTGGGAGAGGCAGAGGCAGATCAGATGGGGCCTAAGGATCTTCCCGAGGGGGCCCCCCAGGCCCTCCTGTCCACCTGGCCCCACTTACCACAGTGGAACACAGCTTTGACATCCAATCGTTCACACAGGAACAAATCTGGCTTCCGCTTCAGAGCCTGCAGGAGGTGGAGCTGGTAAGCCCAGCCCCAACCAGCTCCAAGGACCATCCCCCCTCACCCCCCACTCACCTGCCACCCCAGGCCCCAACTTCACACACCATAGGTTACGGCTGCCAAAATCAGCCACCCAGCCATCTCTGGGGGACCCAAACCACCCCACAGTTCAGTCAGTCAGGAGGGGAGCAGCCAGGGGATGCTATGTACATATATGTGTACATGAATGCACTGGTGTGTGTGAGAGGTGGGGGGGGGGGTGTCACAATACAGAAAGCTTGGATCCCAAGTCACTCCCTGAGCAAACACTTTTATTCTCCCCTCCATCAAGGCCAGATCTCCTGCAGGCTCCAGGTAGCCAGCAGTGACTGCTTTGATTCAGAGGCAGTCCAAGCCCCCTGGATTTGTTAACAGGACAGCAGGAAGAAGAGATGGCAGCTGGATGTGGAGCCCAGTCCAAAAGCCCCCCTCCCACATCCCACCTGCATTCTTCAGACACCCTCTAGTCTAGAAAGAGGAAAAGTAGGGTAGGAGCCTTGGAGCCATGGCCCCACCATTCAACCAGGATACCCTGTGTCCAGGCTCCTTCTCAGCCACACCCAGCCCAGGAGTCAGTGCTGCCATGTCGGGGGAATGGAAGGAGTACAAGGGGCAGAGAGCCCACCCCAAGTGGTACCAGGACACAAATGGCACATCCTCAGGTCACAGGAGATGCTCTGCACAGCTCCAGCAGTCATCAAACACTGCTGCTCCCCGGCAGCCCCCCAACGCATACCATGTAGACTCCTAGCCCCCCAGCCCCTCACATACCTTCCACTCCTCCAGGTTCACTCATGTGCAAACACCCTCACACGCACCCTCTCTGGGAACACCCTACTTACCCTCAAACACACCTCTATCACATCCCTTATACATACTTTCCCACATTCGCAACACACCCTGCTACACATTCACATCCCCAAACCTCCCCACACCCCCCAGCCACGTCCACATGCTGACACCTTCAAGCTACCCAGTCCTCCAGCACGGGTACTCTCCCGACACACCCGTCCACAAACACACATGCAAGTGCCCTCACCCCCAGAGATGCACCCTCACAGATACCCATACACATGTCCATCCAGGCCCAGAACACACTCCTTATTCCCTGCTCCTCCTGCGCCCCACCCCCTCTACTAGACTTAAGTTCTAAGAGAGTAAGAACTGTGCCTGCTTCTGCTTACCATTACATCCTCAGCATCTAGCAGAGTACCAAACATGTATTATGCACTCAATAAATATTTGTGGAATGATTAAGCAAAGAAACACATCATTTACCCCAACCCACAGGAACCTCCCAACCACCCCCACACTAAACCCATGTCCCCCCAGCTCAACACACGTATCTTCCACAACCTACATCCCCTTATACAGACATACTGATACAATATATACTCCTCCATCAAAACACACATTCCCACAGCCCAACACACATACCTCCAACACATATCACTGTCCAAAACCCATCAATGCCTAATGCACATCAACATACAACATGCATCATTGCACACGCCCACACTTCAACTACACATCTATCCCAACACAACACACACACTGCTTAGAGCAGCTATGTGATTTCTGTTTCCAGACCAAACTAAAGTCAAAACACACAAATAAAGTCCAACACACTTAAACATACACCAAACACAAACACATCCCAACGCAGTCTCAAAATGGAGCCAGCACCCCGCCTCCCAGCAGCAGCAAATCCATCTGACAGCCCGACTCGGGGCTCCACCCCAGCACATTCATCTTTAGCCCCTCCCTTTGGAGCTCCTCCCAGCCACCTCTCCAGAGCAGGCTGGGGGCACTGAGGCAGGCAGTTCCCGGCAGGAGCACGGGGACAATGAACCCCAGGCCCTTTAACTCCAATTTTACCCCAGCTGCACAGGAGCTGCTGGGCACAATTACTCCCCCTCCCCCACCCAGGCCAGCCCAGCTCCCTCCCTTCAGGATCGCCTCTCCCTGGTCTGGGTGGAAGAATGAGCTAGTTGAGGCAAAGGGGCACTAAAGGAGGATGTTGGGTTGTCAACTTCCACGGAAACAGATGAAGAAACTCTATTCAACTGAACAGAAAAAAAATTTGTCAACAGAAAGCTAAAAATAGGCTTAAATTGAATTTCAACATAAGAGAAAGAGAAAGAGAGAGAACAGAACGTGAATGAATAAAACTAAAACACACCTGTGCCAGGAGTTGCATAAATGAATCAACAATATCAGGATGATCCCTGGGCCCTAAAATATAATAAAGATGGAACTTAAGAAAAAATTATACAAACAGCAACTCAACCTCATATAGTTATGTGGGACTGAGAGCCTGCAGGGAGACAGCGTGGGGGCACATGAGCAGCAGGAAGCAAGATAAAGAAACAAAACATACAAAAACCATGAACTGGGAGAAGCCCAACAGAAAGAGACGGCAAAGTGAAGGACGGGCCTGCCCCAGCTCCCTCCCGAGGGGCCTTCCACCTACTCCCCACTCCTCCTCAGGCCAGTCCCCCAAGTGATCCTTTGGTGCTAGAGCAATTTTGGACTCCACAGAGCTGAACAAACAACCCCCACACTCTTGCTGCGGCCTCTGGTTGGCTGGGGTGGCCCTACACTGCCTCCTAGCACATACCTCCCCAGTATTAGCCATCAAAGAGGAGGGCAGGGGTGGTGGGAGGTCAGTCCTTGGTAACTCCCACAGACGCCTGGCTGAAGGCCCCGGAAAGGAGAGGGCATCAGGGCCTGAGCAGGTGCCCTCTCACTTCTGTGGCCTTAGGGCTCTGGGTCTGGCCAAGGAAAGGAATCTCTTGGGTCCACTTAAACCAGAGGACTCCTCCTTGGCTAGGGTAGAGCCCAATATGCTGTGGGGATGGCTGGGCAAGCCACCGGCAGGGTCTGGGGGAAGAAACTGTACCATGAGGCCCAAAATGAGAGCCCCACCCAGCAAAGTCCCTCCACCACATGGACACCAACTCAGCAGAGAGCCAGGCTCAGGGCTGAAGACCAGCTCCCACCATCTGGACACACAAAGGAAGAGGGAAACCAGTCCACATGTCACCCCATGGTGCAGTGGGAGGGCCGAGGCTGAGAAAGGAATGGCAAGACTGGGACAGCATAACAGGTAAGGGGGCCATCCTGACCTGCAAGACAACCAACAAGGCCAACAAATATGATTGCTGTTGGGCATTATTCTGCCTCCAGTGCTCTTGCCGCCTGTGGCAAGGACAAGGCGTGTGTCTGGAGCTCCTGCTTGGGCTGCTCCACGTTGAGGAGGAAGGAGGCGCTGCACAAACATCTGTCTGAAACACCACTAAGGAGCTGTGTGATCTTGTGCAAGCCACAGATGCCCAGTTTCCCCAACTGTAAAGGAGATAATGATCTCTTCCCTGCCTCCCTCTGCAGGCTATGAGGAGCCACCGAGAAAGCCCATCTCCTGCACATCTGAGTCCCAAGTCACTCAAGTCCTGGAAAGTGAGGCCCAGTGTGCCCCATGCCTGGGTCCCCCTGCGGACAGCACGTTCGACATTCAGCAGCCACCCTGCTAGCGGTGGGCCCCAGACGGTGAGGAAGAAAGGTTCCGAGGGCAGGAAGACCTCACCCTCCTCTCTTCAACAGCGTCTGATACCTGCTCTACGCTGGCCTTGTTCTGGGCACTGAGCAGGCAGAAAGAAGAGACTCAACCCTGCCCTCGAGGGGCTTAGTCTAGGGAGAGAGACAAACACACGAAAGCTGATTACTGAGTAGGACTGGTGCTGTGTCAGCAGTGTGTACATGATGCAGTTTCAGCACAAAGTCAGAAACACCCAATTCTGCCCCAGAGAAGCTTCTGAGGACTGATGCATGGGTAAGGCATGGAGGAGTGAGAGCTCACCCAGCAAAGGGCACAGGGCATTCCAGTCAGAGGATCAAATGGGACACAGGAAGGGAGAAGTCAGTGTGGCTGGACTGCTGGTATCTCGGGGACGCTGCAGGAGAAGACACTGAGGAGCATGCAGGAGCTGCATCATGTGGGTGGGAGTGGGATGAGGACCTGAGGCAATGGAGAACAATGAAAGCGTTTCCAGCCAGGGAGGGAAAATACTCAGATGTGTGTTTCTTAAAGAACATTACAACTGCAGGGTGCAGGAACGGCCTGGGGAGAAGGGCGGATGTCAGGGAAAGCAGTTAGAGGACTGTTGAGGTGATCCAAACACCCCACACTGAGGTGTGGTCATGGAGGGAGGGGAGAGGTAGGCAGACTGTGGGATAATCAGGAGCCAGGACCACCCAGACTTACCCCCGACTGGATATGAGGAGTGGGAGTGGTGGCCACACCCGGTTTCTGGCTCAAGTTTCTGGCCACTGTGCACCTACCCACAGCCCACTAGAGCAGAGGCCAGCATCATGGGACCACACACTGAGGACATAGGCCGAGAGCGCTCTGGCTCCAACTGAAACCCCTGGTGAGCCCCCAACCTGCGACCCACAAATCCAGGCAAGACTCATGAGGCTGATGAGCAGCGCCGTCTCTTTTAGAAGTTAGAAGCCTGGGTTAGACAGCGGGGGAAGCCTGGAGACCCCTGCTCCCAGCTCTCTCAGGCAGAGGGCCACAGAGAATAGAGCGCCTGGGGCCACAGCCAAAGGGTTTCGGCCTAGAACGCAGGGAAAGGAACCAGCACTCCCTGAGTACTTCATGTGCAAAAAACCCCAAGCCAGGGGACCAAAAGACACTACTTTTATACCTATAACAATCCTATCAAGTACATGAAATCTCCATTTCACAAACATGGAAACGAAGGCTCCACAAAGGTAAGTGACTTGCCCAAGGTCACACAACTAGTTGGTGGTGATGAGCTTAGAATCTAGGTCTATCTGACTCCAAAGCCCATGCTCTTTCCCCTTTTCATTATATCCCAAAGAAAAGGAGCCAGCCTAGTGCCCCAAGTCCCTCAGAGCTCTGGCCCCACCTTCCCCCACATCAAGACTGGCCCTGAGCCCAGCAGGCCAGCAGAAGACATCATTCACTCTCTTATCCACTTCAACCTAAGGTGTCAGCTATTTGTAGGGTGACAACTGTGCTGTGCTTGATCCCGTAAGTTTCCCATCAAGTCCCATGTGCAACTCAGGGGACAGAGGAGAACAGAGTGGGCAGCTTGGGCTCCCCAGTCGGGGAAGCAGAGGCAGTGGCAGTGGCGGCAGCAGCAGAGACCCTGGTCAGGACTTACCTTGCTGGAAGAGAGTGAGTGTCACGGAGGTGACGAGCAGGAAGAGGGCCTCGATTGGGGGAAAGTGGGCAGGTTCATGAGCAAAGATGTGGACCAGCTACAACAAAGCAGGGAATGCTGGTCAGTTGAGGCCCTGTCTCACAAAGAACTGGCCAGCATCCCTGAAATGCAGGTCAGAACCCCTGCCAGGGCAGCCATTCACCCCACTCTACCCACCCACCCCATCCCTGGGTCAGATGAAATCTAGAACACTGCTGCCTCAATCAGAAGGCCCACCTGTCGAGTGAGGTCAAGAGCAGAGGCCTGGGGGATGGTGCTATACATCCGACTCAGCATCTCACACAGCTGTGGCACCATGGGGGCAAAGTCATCCAGCAGGGTCTTAACGGACTTCTCAAAGATAGCGCACACCGCCTTGGGAAGGAAGCAAAGGGGCCCATGAAATAGACAACAGTATTATGATCATCAAACTTGCCAGGAGACTAGATCTTAATTATTCCAACCACTAAAAAGAAATTATAATTATGTGATGTGATAGGGGTGCTAATTATGATACAATAGCAATCACATTAGAACATAGAAATGTATCAAATCTACATGCCGAACACCTTAAATTTATACAATGTTAAATATCAAATATATTTCATTTCAAAAAAAGAAAAAAGGCAGAAAGCAAAGGGGCCCTAAGGTTAGTGGGTCACAATCAGCTGGAATAGAACTGAGGCCCTGCACAGAGGAGGCCTTAGGGGGGACCTTTACCTATAAGCCTGGCCTGGCCCTGCAAGTTAAGGAAGGTAAACAAGTCTGACCCTTACCCTGAAAGGTGGGATGCAAAAAGGCCCTTCTCAGAGGGCCACAGGATGGAACTTCGCAACTCAAGTCTTGCTACTTACATCTGCACCATTTCCTCTCACAGAGCAGCAATAGCAAGAAAATCCTGAATTGAAAAGGGACCAAAGGCAGGAAGGCAGGTCTCTGATTACAAAGTGGACCCCTGACTGTCACTCAGCCCCAACATTGTAGTTCTTTGGTCAAGCACTTTTTGTGACATTGGGAAGTTCTGAATGTCTTTCCAAAAGACTCCTTGTACCTGTCGGGCAAGATTCACCTCCTTTATTTCCTCCAGACCATTGCAAGCCGAGATGGGCAGCAACACCTTCCTCCTGCTCCATATCTAAGCAAAGTCACCGTGGGGGTAGGGAGCAAGGACTGAGGCTCACCTCCACCACTTGGGCATCATTCAGCCATTTGCTCAGCACCTTCTGGATAAGCTGGAAGACCTGCTGCAACACCACAACCACCTGAAGACACAGGAAGAAGTGAGGTGCCCCCACCACCACTCTCACCCACCCAAGATGGACATGGTAATATAAAGCAGGCCAGAAGTTCAAAACTATTACCCCAGACTAGACATTGAGGACTCAATGGATGGGACCTTGGGGGAAGGAGTGAATGAAAGAGGACATCCTGAATTTTAAGGATCATTTTAGAGGAAGCCTCAAAGTGCAAAGCAAGGACATTAGGAGGGCTTCAGAAAATTACCAAAACATTGTAACCTTTTAAAAAATCACTCCCTATCCATTTCTGCACAGGAAAATCCTTTTAGCGCCAAAAGCCTATGGGTTAGCCCCTGAAGAAGTAGAGACGCTGTGTCACACAAACAGGCCTAGGGTAGAAAGCCCCAAGGGATGCACATATATGGCAGCTTATGGAGGAACAGAGAGCAAACTGAGGTCCTGGGAGGTGAGGGAAGGCAGGCCAATGACTATCATGGAAGGAGAAGGGGCTCTATTGAAGGATGTTGGCCCAAGTTTGGTCTAGAGCCAAAAGGGCACCTGAAACTAAGGTGAGGAATTGAGGAGAGGAGCCAGGATACTGTGGCCTCCTTTTCTCCAGGAGAAACCCTGGGAACAATGATCCAAGAAGTCTCTCACATTTATACAGAACTTTATAGTATGCAAAGTACTTTCACTCAAGACCACATATGCTCTGCAGCACGGTTCTATGAGATGTGCAAGCCAGGTAGTCTGACATCCATAGTTTTGAATGGGAAGCTGAGGCTGGCCCCAGATCAAACAGCTTGTAAGTGGTCACCCCAACCCCTGTGCCTAAGCTTACCACAGTACTTGTCACACTGCTTTGTGACAATCTGTTTACATGGATTTCCTCTAGACTGGGAGCAACTCAAAGGCAAGAGCATGTAAGTATCCCCAGTGCCCACAGGGGACAGTGAATAGTGAAGTAGAAGTTGGGGGTTAAACAAGGGCCCATAATTACATCACTTAGGAGGTTGAAGGATAATGCCAATGTCCCCCATGGGGCAGAGGAACCACAATGACATCACCCCAGTTGGGCTGGGGACAAAGACAACATCACCCACAGGGTTGGATGAGACAATGACATCACTCCCTATAGAGTGAAGGGCAATGATAAGGTCATTCACAGGGTCAGAGGACCAAATGCATCATGCCCCACAGGGCCAAGGGAACAATGACAATATTACCCATGAACTTGGGGAGAAACAATGACATTTCCACAGAGTGTGTGTTGGGGGGGCTGGGCACAATGGCAACATCACCCACGGGGTTGGGTCCCTGCGGCACTGGCAGCTTCCGGAGCTCAGGGCCTTCATGATCATCCTCATGATGACTGACATCCAGCGTGGTGAAGAGGTTAGAGAGAAGCCCCAAGATGTGGACAATGGCCAGCTTGTTGGAAGGATTAGGCTATGGAGAGAATCAAACCAAGCTCTGGATCTCCCAGCCCCAGCTTGACCCCTGACCCCAGCCCTGACTGTCAACTCTAACCCCAACCCCCAGCAGCCACAGCCAACACAAAGGGAAACCCACCCCTGCCCTCTGGCCACACACACACACACACACCAGGGCACTCACTATCTCCTCTGCTAGCTTCTCCAGCTGCTGGATATAGGGCGAGATAAGTGAGTGCAGATTCTTAAGGATCTCCTCCACCTGCAGGGCTGACAGCAGGAAGCCCAGTGCCTGCATCAGCCACATGCACTGGCTCGTCTGTGGGGCAGAACATGGAGAGTCAATCCTGGACACATCTGGTCGTGGGTAGGAAGAATGAACCTCTTGGGGTAGGTTCCAAGAACAGAGAATAAAAGACAAGGGGTAGGAAAAGGCAGAAGAGGATTTCCGTAGATTTCCACAATATCCCCAAGGACCCCTAGAAACTTCTGGGCTCACCTTGTGGATCTGTTTCATCAATACATCCTGGAGATAAACAGAAGGAATATGGGATCAGTGGAGTGTAATGTGCCCTGAGACCCAGCCCCACCTAGGCCCCCGCATACCTGGGAGACAGCCACGATGTTAGCAGCATAGGGTGGCAGGTCATACTTGCATTCTCGGCAGATTTTCTTGAGGGTGGACACAGAAGAGACAGAGAGCTCAGGATTGCCTAGGGCATGCAGTACGAGGGGCAGAACACTGTTGATCATGACAGGGTGGTCAGCCAGCCATTCAGACAGAGCTCCTGGGGTAAGAAGGAAGAGGGGAGGATATCTGAGGCAGGTCAGGCTGGCTTTGTACCATGTCCCTGTAAAGTAGGCAGAACTTCTGGCAGGATCAAGTTACAGCCCTAGTACTGAACAGGGAAATATGCATGCACATGCTCAAACAGGAGGCTTATAGCTGAGAAGCAGGAAGGAGTTACTCAGAAGAGGCCTAGCACTGCTGTTCCATTGACAGCAAACTAGCCTTACTGAATTGCAGCTCAGAACATTGTAGGAAGGACCCCTAGATGTGCCAGGACAGTCAGTTGGCTGCAATGCTGATTTTGTGTGTGGGCATATGTGTCTCTCCCATTTTGGACAGGAACCAGCAGGCTGACTGTGGCTGGGGAAGGTGCCTGTGGCTCTGGAAGTGTGGTCATGGGTGTGTGCCAGGTCTCACCGATGGTGAACATGACAGTATCTGCCAGCTGCACGTTGCTGATGCTGATCCGTGGAATGAGGCCAATGAGGCCAGGCACCACATCAGAATAGTTGACGTCGATGGTCTCTGCAATGGACTGGAAGCCATAGAGCAGGGCCTCTGTGTGCTGAGGAAAGAGGTGCCACTGGCTTGGCTGAGGAGGAGGGTATGACAGTTCTGGGAGGGCAGAGGGAATCAGGCTTGGGAGATACCTGCCAGGAGTAGGGCTCCTCTGAGCTGGTGAGCAAGCGGCCCAGCTTGTCATAGAGGTTGCTGAGCAGCTCGGCCCCCAGCATCTCGTACACATACATGAGCGTATCTGAGATGTCCACCCTAAGAAGCAGAGGAAGACCTTATATGCTGCCGGGATCCTGCCCTCAAGCCCAGGAGCCCACCCCAGTTCCTCACAACCCTGCAAAAGGGCCTAGAGAATAGAGAAAGGAGCCCCAGGATTCAGGAAGCCTGGCCTTGGGTTCCTCCCCTTATTGCCTTCATTAGTTCAGGACTCTATTTAGAGGTAGGACTGGCCTGCTGCCATCACCTGTAAATCCGGAACTGCTCCTTCTCATCTGAGGACCAGAATCCGTATTCCTCGTCAGAAGGGAACTGGGCCTTGTGCAGAAGCACATCCACCAGCTGGAAGTAGACTGGCCGGTACACCTGCTGGTACACAGCCTGCTTCTCTGCCTCGAAGGACAGAATGTCATCCTGAGACAGCCAGGGAAGGAAGTTAGCCACCTAGGCACCAGGCCCAGAAGCCCATGATCTACCTTCTATCATTACAGCTCAATCCAACAAGAGGTCACAGAGACACACCTGCAGCGTGTACCAGAAGGTGAGGGTCAGGGAACTGGTGGTCTCGTTGACAGGGTAGTGGCCAGGGATGCCAGTACAGAACATTATCATGTTGACAAGGGCCAGGAAACTCTGCCAGTGCTCCACTTGGTCCAGCAAGGCCCTTGGAAGGAAGACGTATAGTAAGGTCATTCCACTTACCCCAACAGGGCTTCATAACTCCATCTCTTAGAGGGCCCTGCTATCCCCCCCACCCCCACCCCCAGCTGCCCCCCTCCTCACCGGGAGTGGTTCTCGCCCAGGGCCACAGCAATTCGACAGATGCCATGGGAGGTCTCCATGTCCCCATTCTGCACTGCCTGTCGCAGTTGATCTTGCAGTCCCAGAACCAGCGGGATGAGTTTCAGGAGTGTGTTCACATACCTGGAGGCATGAGGTTAAGGAGACCCATCAGAGCTGTCTGCCCAGCCCCCACCAGCTTTGAGAGAAAAAGCCCCCTCCCCACATTAAACCCAAAGCAAAAAAGAGGTCAGGGCCTACATGGTAGCTTTGACGCTGCCCATGTTGGGAAAAATCTGAGGTCAGGGACCTACCTCCAGGAGAACTCTGGGAAGGAAGTATGAGAAGGTCAGTGTTGAATGGGTTGAATTATGTCCTCTAATTAGACTTACAGTTGACGCTGGCATGGGTTAAGACTTCTCGGGAAGTCAAAATGAGATACACGTATTTTGCATGTGGGAAGGACATAAATGTTGGGGGGCTGGAGGGCAGACTGTAACGGGCTGAATTGTATCCTCCCCACAAAAGATATGCTGAAGTCTTAACCTCTAATACCTCAGAATGTAATCTTATTTGGAAACAGGGTCATTGCAGTTGAGGTCATAGAGTAGGGGGGAGCTCTAATACAATACAACAGGTCTCCTTATAAGAAGACAACCACATGAAGACAGACTTACAGGGAGAATGACATGTGATGACAAAGGCAAAGACTGGAGTCATGCAACTGCAAGCCAAGGAACAAGACTGCCAGCAAACCACCAGAAGCTAGGAGGAGGTGAGGAAGGATTCTCCTACAGGTTTTTAGAGGAAGCCAACACCTTGACTTTGGACTTCTAGCCTCTGCAACAGTGAGATAATAAATTTCTATTGTTTAAAGCTACCCAGTGTGTGGTACTTTATTATGGCCCCTCTAGGAAACTAATATAGACAGTGTTAAGAGAGCCCGAACAAAGACAGGAAACAGAGGAGTTAATACAGGCTCAGGAGCCCTCACAAAGACTTCAGGAGGCACCGACAGCATCAATCCCCACTGTCCACTCCACTCCCTATCACCAAATCCAAACTCCTATGTACTCTGGTGGCAGTATGAAGGGAGAGCAGCAGACGATGAACCCTGAGACAGCTAAGAGGCAAAATGGTCAGGACTTGATAACTGACTGGATACAACAATGGGGAAGAGTTAAGGACAACTCCCAGGTTACTGGCTGAACAATTAAGTAGATGGTGGAGCTATTTACTGAGGTCAGGAGGAGTGGGTGGAGGGGGATAGTAATAAATTTAATGGGAGGCCAGAAGGTGATAAGTTCAGCGTTAGGCATGTTGAATCAGAGGTACCTGGTGAGATCTGCAAACAGAAGTGTCCAGAGAGTTGGATATGAAAACCTGAAGCCCAAGGGAGAAGTTAGAGCAAGAGATAGTCATGGGCAAACAACTGGTAATTGAAGCTATGGGAGTAGATGAGCATTGCCCAGGAAGAAAGCACTGAATGAGAGAAAAGAGGGTCCAAGTCAAAGTCCTGAGGCACAATGATCTTAAAGGGGGAACAGGGGAAGCACAGTATACAAAGGAGACAGAGAACACTAGCTCCACTCACTGGACCCCTCCCCAGCAGCCTGCTCCATGGAGATCAGACTAATCCGAGGAAGTGATACTCTCGGCAGGGGTACTGGGGGGATCAGATGCTTGAGACCCCTCTGCTACCAATCATAGTGTCACCAGAGCAATCTATGGAGAGGCAGGGGGACTGATGGGCCAGAGGAGTTCTATCTGCATTTGCCCTAAGCAGGCTGCTAGGCAGGCAGGTAACCTCATAACCTCAGGGGTAGGATGAAAACAACAAGAAGCAACCAGCCCAGGATGTTGGCTTTCTCCAAATCCCCATTCTGGTGGGACAAGGTGTCCATGCAAGGATACCCCCAACCCAGAGACAGCCCTAGAGGGTGCTGCCTGGAGACAGCTGGGATAGCTTCAGTCTCACGACCCTGACACAGGCTGCACCACCAGACAATGGGCACCTTCAGGCCAGACTCTGCACAAAGAGCAGGGGCAGGGCCAAAGCCCTGGCCTGCAAGCTCCCTAGCAGCTGAGATGGGGGCAGGAGGTAGTGCTCTATCCCCAAAGCATCCCTACCAAGGCTCTCTCACACCTGCCAAAGTTCATGTACACAGCACGTACTCAGTCTTCACTGAGTTCTTGATCTGTCATATTTAAGTTGAATAGGCTCAATCATGGATAATATGGTCCAGAAGGGCTCAGAGTATTACTCAAGGTCATAGCAACTTAGAGACAAATGCCAGGCTGGGGCAGCCACTTCTACTGCTGCAGGACTGCTCTTTCAGGGCCCAACCTGAATTTCTCCAAAGGACCTATGCAAATCTCATTCCATATCTCAAATTCTAACTGATGGGAGTCCCCAAGAACCTGTCTAATTCACCTTCTCCCTTCCTCCAGCCCCCAATGAAAAGCTTTCCCAGGATTAAAAACATATTTCAGGAAAAACAAAATCAAGGGAGAGAGAGCCAAGCAAGCAGTAGCAGCTTCTGGAAGAGTGGGAAGAGGGGACCTGAGTGCAAGCCTAGCCAAGGGGAGAGCCAACATCAGGACACTTGGGGAAGACAGTGGCCAGATGACCCAAGAGTCAAAACCACAGGTGACTTTTTCAAGCCAAAGTCTAGGAGACTAGACTAAACAGAGTGAGGCCCAAACTCTGACACCAGGCTGGGTGCAGCCCACCAATAGGGGAAACCCTAGATTTCCTACCACCTGGGCACCTACTCCTGAAAACTGTGAGTGGACAGAAGAGCAGGTCTGAGGCTTCCAGAGATTTGTAGATTTGGGGGAGGGAGAGAGAGAGGATATCTTTAAGGCCATGGCTGAGACTGGATTCAAGAGGCCTAGTTCCATTGGTCAGCTCAAGCTACCGGGGCAGGGCTGCTGGGACTTGCTGGCTGCCACTCACACTGAGCTCAGCCCAGACCTGCAATTAGAGCTCCGGGAGGAGAGCTGAGAAAATGGGGAGAGTTGCTAAGCAACCATGGGGGCTGCAGCCAATGGGCGCTCAGGAGGCTGTGGGTTCCCTCACTGGCTCCTTCTTCGCTCATTCGTTCAGAGGAGAAGAAACATCAATTACCTGCCAAAGCCCTCAAGACTGGCTGGGCGGGTAAACCTGGGTGTATCCAAGGACACCCCACATCACCCATGCAGTGGCCCCAGGCAATTCCCCTTAGCCACCAACTGTCCGAGCCCAGCCGGCACTTGAGCTTCAGGCTGCCGGCACTTGAGCTTCAGGCTGCCGAGGAAGGCTAGACCTGGGACTTGGTACCCACCTTGAGTTGGAAAGCCTGGGAAACCACGGGAAAGATAGACTAACTACCAATGCAGTAACAATACCAAATTCTAGCAAGTACTGTTTATGGGGTGTACAGGAACCATGCAAAACCCTTCACAGACCTTCTCTTCTTTGATCTTCATACCAAAATATTCTTTATAGAGTACCAGGGGCCCTGTGCACATTATCCTATTTAAGCCTTTACAACTCTGTGAGGTCGATATGATCACACCCATTTTACTGATGAGGAAACTGAGGCTTAAAAATGACTTACCCAAGGTCTCAGATCTAGCGAGCGGACCATCTGGGATTCAAACTCAGATGTGACTAATGTCAAGGCTGGAGCCATTAACCACTCTCTGATGCTATCTCTTTCAATGTTTTCCCCTCCAACTCTGCTAAGGGTTTCTAAAGCCCCATCTCTCATTCTTTTTTTTTTTTTTTTTAAGTAGGCTCCATGCCCAGTGTGGAGCCCAACTTGGGGCTTGAACTCACAACCCTGAGATCAAGACCTGAGCTGAGATCAGGAGTCAGACACTTAACCGACTGAGCCACTCAGGTGCCCTAAAAGCCCTATCTCTGAAGTGTTAGTGTCTCCAGTCTTGTCCTGACCAATCCAACTTATACTAAAAATTTCATTATGCCATTTTCTCTGCTTGAAATCTTTTAATATCTTTACATCCTCCTCAGGATGAAGACCAAAATTTTAAGCCTGGCTGACAAGGTCTTGCATGATCTGGGCCCAGACCTTCCACAACTGGCCCTTAAACCCTGCTATTTAATCACCACCACTCACCAGGCTCCCTCAACACCTTTTCCTTGCTCAGGGTCTTTAAAGCACACCTCCTCTGGGAAGCCTTCCACAACCCTAAGATGGGGCTAAATGCCTCCTGTGGGCTCTCACAGCCCCCCGCTTTCTCCATTATAGCATTTATCTCATTGACCATACTTGCCCTTTCGTGTGTCTATTAGGCTGAGCTCCTGGCTTGCTGAAGTCAACCTATTCATCTTTGTGCACCTGGTGCTCAGCACAGGGCCCAAGATACAAACAGGTGCTCAACAAACATCTGCTGCACCAACAGCTCACTACACTCACCTTCTTTCAGGTCCTTGTAGGTACTATGGTGCTGCCACCACAGGCCTTTGCCCCTGCTTTAGTTCTGAAACCTGGAACACTCACTCCTCCCCTGACCTTCCCCACCCCACTCCCACCTCTCACCACTCAGGCAACTCCTACTTCTCATCTGTTCAAAAAATACTGAATGCTACCAAATGCTGCCAGGCACAGTGTGACAAAATAAAATGACACAGTGCCTGTCCTCACGGAGCTGAGAGACCAATGGGGAGACCTAAGTTAATTTACAATGAAACTGTATTACAGGCTAAGAAGGAAAATCACGAGGAGCTCTGAGATAAAATAACTGAGAAGACCACTTAGTCTTAAGAATCACTGATGGCTTTCCTAAGAAAGTGAAGTTTCAGCTGAGGTAGAGATGATGTGCCAAGTACATGTGATGGTTCAGAGGCTAGAAGAAGCATGGGACAGTCAAGGAACTGAAAAGATTGTGTGAGAGTGAAGAAAGGACAATGGCATGAGAAGAGGCTGGAGATTAGCCATACTGTGCAGCACCTCTGTGAATCACATTAAGGATTCTGAACTTCATCCTAAGAACTGTAAAAAGCCACTGAAGGGTTCTGAGCAGAAAGGACAAACTGGATCCTCATTTTCAAAAGATCACTCTGGTTGCTGGGTGTGCAATAAAAGGTACAAGAGTAAAAGCCAAGGGACTGGTGAAAAAGCTCTGCAGTAATTTGGGGAGAGAGATGATGACAGCTTGGACTAGGGTGGCGGCAGTGGAGATGGAAAAAATAGATTTGCAATATGGTCAAGAGCAGAACAGTCAGGACTTGGCGACTGATTGGTGGAGAGAAAGAGAAGAAAGAGTCAAATATTGTAATGAATAATTCGTCGGATGGTTAGTGGTCTGTCTCCCTCTCTGAACCATAAGGACCATGTCTTGTTTGCTTCCTTGTGTATCTCCAGCATCGGACCATGTATCAGTAGGCACTCAAACAGTGTTTACTGAATGGATGGATGGATGGATGGATGGATGGACGGATGGCCAAGCAAGCTGTCCCTCTCTGGGAAGGTGGGCACCAGCTCACCTCTGGGCATCAGGCTGCGAGATGGCATTGACAATGGCCTCCACACTGCTGTCGAAGAGCTCCGAGTCCTGCAGCGCAGCAAAGGCGGCCTGAATGAGCGCCTCGCAGTCCTGCAGTGGTACCTCCAGCTGCACCCAGCTGGAAAAGCACTTGAGCACCTTCTGACGCACACAGCTGGGTGAGCTGGGCTGCTGTAGCAGCTGCTCGAGCAACGGGAAGACAGCCCCGCACTCCACCGCCAGGCTGGCCCGCACCAGGCCTTTGCGATACTGAGGCAGACGGCTTGTCTGGAACTCCTCTGGCAGCACTGTCAGCAGCTCGAGTAGGGCCAGGCAGCGGCCCTGACCGTCCACCGGTGAGTCCTCAGCCTGGAAGAGCCGTACCATATCTGCCACAGCACACGGCCAAGCATCAGGCATCATGCTGAGAGCCAGGGAGGCCAGGGCCACACACAGCCGAGTCAGCACAATCTTGGAGCCACTAGCAAAGTGGGTGATGTGGGTGAAGAGCTGTGCCTTTAGACTTTCATACTGGTCAGTGGGTATGTCACTCCAGTAGCGAGAGATCTTGATGTGCAGGGCACTGGCCCCAAAGTACTGGATCTCAGGCACCTTGTCGGGCTGCAGTAGCTGCCAGCTGAAGTGCCAGGCCTGTGGGGAAACCTGAGCCTGCATCAGCCACTTCTGAGCCAGGTTCTTGTTCTCAATGTTGGGATCGTAGTAGAGCTGGTGCAGCGCCTGCAGGACAGCACAGGACTGAGCAGCTGCTGGGCACTCTGGATCCTGCCAGAGCCCAGAACAGAGGGCATGACTTGGTCCTGCAAGTCTGCTCTCTCTGACTGAGGGGCTGAGCAGGAAGAGCCCAGGGCTCTACAGTGTTTCCTGGGCCCGAGTCCTACTGATATCTTGAGAGCCTGAACTGTGCCCATGCTCTACCATATTCTCTTCTCCTTATGGCAAAACATTATGGGTTCAGAGAGTGAACCTCCACAGGAAAGCAGAAAAAGAGGAGGCTGAGTTCCCCAAAGGGAGGCACTTGAGGTAAAGGACAAGGCCCAGGTTGAAGGAATGGCTCCACAGGCATGAAGCTAAGCCTGAGAAGAATACGGAACAGCCTGAGGGGCCTTGACCCTCCCAGGCACCACTGCTCCCATCAACTCCAAGAGTTCTATTCAGCTCTCCCAGGATCATCCCTAGGTCACTCCAGATGCTGGCACCAAAGCCAGTGAGAAACCTGAGCAGGACTAAGACTTTGCCAGGCAGCCGTAGGCCAGAGACTTACTGGAGGGGAGGGTGAGAACACCACTCAGAGAGCACACATGAGGGTCCAAAAAGCTGGTCAAAAAGTCTTGGCCGGCAGCCCTGGCAAATGCCTTGTCTGGGGCTCTCAACTAGCCAAATCCCCAGGGTCCCAATTCCATAGGGACTTCACACAGTAAGAAAACAGTGGTTTGTCTCCCTGGTAGCACATGGAAGAGCGCGCCACCATGCCAACAGTGCCCAGCCCCAGGGGGTGGAACAGTCAGGTCAGGACTCTGACCCCCTAAGCAGGCTCCATTCAAGTAGGCTTAGCCCAATCTGTACTTCTGACAGCAAGTTCTAGCTACTGTCCCTTGTTTGGCCCCTCAAGGATGCTGAGGCAGGCAAAGAAAAGAAGCAGAAGGGTTGCATTCTTAGCATTTGGTATGGCAAAAAGGGCGCAAGAATAACAAGTGAATATCTGCAACCATTCCTTGCTTTCCAGCAAGGTAGCCCTATCTCCCCATTCATCCCAGCGGGGAGGCATATCTGCATCCCAGGCCTCTGGGGCAGAACACAGAAAAGAACCAGAGAAGCAGTTCAAAAAAGATGGCCTGGGCAGTGGGAAAGCCTGGGAAGGCCATGGTAGGAAGCTGTGTGGGCAGGAGAGCAGGGAAAGGACCCTGAGGCTGCCGGGATGACTGAACCCCTTGGACCCAGCACAAAACAAAGGGGGCCAGCCCTTCCTGCCTGCCCAGGACCGGTCTGGCCTCCATCCAATATAAGAAGGACCCTTCTCCAAGAAAGAGTGAAAACAACCCAGACTGTTTTAGTTCCAGGTTATTTTCTGAGCCCCTGGGTCACAAAACAGGTCCAGGATGGCTCAGCATCTGTATGGTTCCTGAGGACTGAGCTGTAGGTCTCCTGGGCTCCTGGTTTCTTACTGCACTGCTCATGCAGTTCCCATGGAGCTGGAGAATAGCCAGTCTGGCTGTAGGTCTAGGCCATCAGCACTCTGGAGGGACCATCCCAAGACCCCAGAGTATCCACAGAGAATCATGTCTAAGGAAAGCCAAAAATAGCCCATTAGGACACCACTACATTGCTGTCCACGCCTGCCCAGAGAGACAGCAAATGCCAGGTGCTCTGGGGGCACCATCCCAGCGGGCACCCAGCCCAAGCCTGGGCTCTGGCATTAGTGTCAGTCCCCAGAACTTCTGCTCTGTCACTGGACTGCCCACCCCAGGGCCCTCGTACCTTCTCCACGTTCTCCACAGTGAAGTCCAAGGCTGGTGCTGCTCCAGCCCCTGCAGCCCCCGGCTGTTCCTCCCGCCGCTCCATCTTTGCTCCCTCCCTAGCAGGGAGGTGGACCCTGACCTGTCTCCTGCCCCAGCCCCTTGGCTGCTGGCCCCCTGCTAGACCCCGGCTTGGGTGCCCAGGAAGCGGTGCGGTGACAGGGGGCCCAGGGCGGGCATGGCTGCCGAGGCCTCCCCACCTCCGTCGGGGATGGGGGGCTTGCCAGAGGCCAAAAGGGGTGCTCTTAAGGGGAGGTCAACTGAGGGGGACTCCGAGGAGGGAGCCGTCAGTGAAGAGTTCGCAGGCGGGGGTCCTGGTGGTAGGTTACGGCTCTGTCCCTAGAATCTATGAGGAAGGAGTCATAGGGAAGGCAGGCCTGTGGGGGAAACCGAGCCCCTGGCCCGTGAGAGGTCACAGGGTCGATGGCCTGTACCCACAACAACCTCGTCTGAGTGAGCTCTCCGGTCCTACGAGGAGGTCACGGGGTGGGGGGGACGAGGGAGAGAGCCCTTCGCGGGTTACGGAGGCGTCCGACTAGGCGCAGGGGTGCAGCTTCGCGAGTCTGGGGCGAAGAGTCCGTAGAGTTGAGGGGCTGTGGCAGGTCCCCTCCGCTCGGCCTGGCCCGCGCTCTTCTCACCGCCCGGCTCCGGCCCAGCTACCGCCGCTGCCGCCGCCCCAGTGACTGACAGGCGAGCCGGCCGGGCCGGGACGGGGCGGGGACCTCAGCGAGGCGCGGGTTGCCCCCAGCGCCTGTTCCCGGCACGGCCGACTCAGGCGCCGCCCTCCCCCGCGCCTGCCCTGGCCCGGCCCGGTCCGGCACAGCCCGGCACGGCCCAGCGGAACTGCGCAGAAACTCATTCCGGGTCCCTGGTCCTGTCCCCGCGCCGGCCCGCGCGCCCCCGAGCAGGCGACGGAGCGGCGCGCCGCTCGAGGCCCCCGCTGAGCCAAGGCCCCGCCGCTGTGTACCCTGGGAAACGTAGTCCCCATTGCTCCTAGCGGGAGGGCGGCGCTTTGCGGTAGAGGTCGGGAGCACGTGGGCTGGGGACCCGCGGAGCCCCGCCGGCTCCAGACCTACTGCCGGCGACAGGGTCAGACCCGCGGGAGGCGCTGATGAGCAGCTCCCTAGGACGATGTGACCGAAGGGGCCGGTGGTTGGAGCTGGGATGCCGGCTAGAGGATAAGGTGTGTGTTGGGGGTTGGCGGGGAGAAACAGGTCAGTCTGGTGCCGCGCTGCCGGCGCCTCCTGGGGCCCAGGAAGGGGGCGGTCTGGGCAGAAGGCATCAGCACCGCCCAAAGAAGAAAGGGAGCTTGGCGCGCCCCAGGAATAAAAAAGCACGGCCCTCCGGAATGCCCAGTGAGCAACCAGGAACCACATACCATGGACAGTACTCGGAGAACTTCTTCCTAAGATGCTTGGAAGTAACTTCTCTTTATGAGTAATTAGAATAAGAATAGCTCACATTTAAGTGCCAGGAACAAGCAGTACTTTGCCTACCTTGGTCCGATTCTCTGGACAACTCTGAGGTGGGTTTTTTAGTCACATTTTCAGATGAGGAAACAGAGGTTGAGGAAGGTTGAGCTTTTCTTGTCCAGGGACACATAGCTAGTGTAGCAGAGACCAGCCACAGATCTGGTCCGCCGCAGACCCCAGCAGCCCCTACCCCTTACACTTCCACTTGCCCTTATATTAACTCTTATTTCTAAAGTTTATTTATGGAAGTAATCTCTACACCCATCATGGGGCCCAAACTCCCAACCCTGAGATCCAGAGTCTCATGCTCTTCTGACTGAGCCAGCCAGGCACCCCAATCTTTTATTAACTCTTGCCAGCTATCCCAGCAGGGGAAAAAATAATCAAAAGGGAAAGGAGGACCTCTGTACTTGTATTCGGTGGAGGAAGCTGACATTGGCAATAGCTGCTAAGGCTGAAGAATGTGAGTGTAGGCTTCCCTGAGGAGGAGAAACTTGGTCTGGGCTTGAAGAATAGAGAGAAACGGGTGAGGAGGGGGGTTCGATTAGCTCGGAAGCAAAAATCTAGTGGGAATCTAGTTGTTCAACAAATCTTAAGTGGGGTTTCAAGTGGGCAGTGATGATTGGATTTGCATTTTACAAAAACCTATCTGTAGGATGTAAGATAAATTGAAGGCGTGGTCTTTTCATCATTTGGGGGTGCAGGGAGAACCTCTGGTTTTCATCAGATTCTCTAAGGACTCTACAACCCCAAAACAGTTTAAGAACCACTCCTGTGAACAAAAAAGGTGACCTCACATGGTGCAGACGCTCCTAGATCTTTTCTCTGATCCTCAGCTTTCTACACAGCCTCTCCTTTCTTGGATGAGACCTCAGTGAGTCAGCCAGTGCACATACACTCTGTCCCAGGGGAAATAGGACCATCCCTGGACAAGAGAGAGGAAAACCATTGGCAAGTGCACATGGAACCCCACACCTCAGTTCCCGGATGAACCAAATGTCGAGGGAAGTTTTGGATACTCCCTGAAGCTGGAAAAACTGCCATTTCAAAGCTGCCTATAGTTTTCCGTCTTACAAGAGGTGGTGACTTGAAAGCCCTTTAGAGGAGACCATACCTTGGTTCTGGGAAGACCACTCAAACGGGCAATGTAGTTTTGCAAATGTGAAACAAAGACTACAGTCAAGAATGGAGATACCAGGGGCGCCTGGGTGGCTCAGTAGGTTAAACATCTGCCTTCAGCTTGGGTCATGATCTCAGAATCCTGGGATGGAACCCCACGTCGGGATCCCTGCTGGGTGGGGAGCCTGCTTCTCCCTTTCCCTCTGCCTGCCGCTCCCCCTGCTTGTGCTCTCTATCTCTCTGTCAAATAAACAAATAAAATCTAAAAAAGAAAAAGAAAGAAAAAAAAGGACTGGAGATACCAGAACCACCGGTGGCTCCCGGGTGGAAAGTGCTCTGCCTGGTGAGTTTATGTGACAGTGACCTCTGCTAAGTTATGGGCAGAGAACTGCAGCTCTGGAGCTTGTTCCTTTGGGGGAAAGTGGCTTTATTATTTTATTTTATTTTTTTAAAGAGGGATTTGCGTTCTTGTGGGACTGTGTTCTTCTTAGAGAAGGTACTGTTTCATCTGGGACTTTGTGAGATGTTGGGCACAGTCTCTCTGGGGCCCAAAATGCAGCCTTGAGTTGGAGGGACCCTGCTTGCTCAAGGCCCAGCAATCAGGACTGTTGAGGGCCAACACCTCTGGCTTGGGTTCCGACCTGGCTCTCCTGCTGAGAGCATTGTCAGAGGCGGCTTCAGTCTGTTGTCTCCTTTAAGTGGCTCTGAGAGCAGAGATGACCACTGAAGGGCAGGGCCTGGAGGGCTTGGGGGCTAGGCCCGGTTTTCAAGTCTTTCCGGTAGGGTCTCCCTGGGCCCAGTGACCCTGCTTGACGGGATGTCCCCCTTCATCCTTAACCAGGGCCGGGGCCCAGGCCTCCGTGAAGCATCTGCAAACTGTATGGCACTGGTGTCATTTTCTTCCGGTGGGGCTGGGAAGGGCTGGAGACTGAGGGTCCTCAATCAGCTTGGAGGCAGAGAGAGGGGGCAAAGGGCTGTTTGAAGGCAGTGTGAGAGCACCAGAGTTTGGGGAGCATCTAGAACTGGGGCAGCGAACACGGAAGAGTGGAAGCAAAGGCCTGTTTCTCCTCCTTGACCCAGAATGCTCACAGCCCTCACTTTTGCCTGCTCCTCACTCTAGCCCGGGCGAAGGGGCACCTGTGCCAAAGCAGCCAGGCACTTAGACAGTCCGGAAGGAAGTTTGGTTAGCAGGGGCAGATGCCCGAGGGGCCCCGCCCTCGGCTGCCTCACTCCCGTGGTGCTCTCGTGCACCCCGGGCTGCAGCTGCTGCCCTTGTGCTCACAGCGGCCAATTCCATCTCCAGGCCGGCCCTCCCTCCTCAGCTCCAGACCAGCATATCCCTTCCTCCCGACAGCCCCTCTGGACACCCCATGGTTTCTCAGACTGGGCATCCTTTCCAAACGCAGGCCTTCATCTTATTTCCAAAGAAGAACATCATATTGGACAAATTCATAGGACCCAGGAAACAGGGCTTCCCAGGGACATGCAGGAAAGCTCAGAGGGATTGCACTGACTTTTGAGAGATGACTCGGGGACACTGCGGAAGGCCAGGGTCAGCACTAACCTCTCCTTCCTTCCAAATGCAGGTGTGTACCTCTTAGCTTCCGCCAAGCCCTGGAGACCTTCTTGTCCTTTTTCATACTATCTGTCAAATTGAACTTCCATAATTATTTATTGTCTGTCACTCCTGAGTTAAGCTTAAGGGCAGGGGTCATGTCCCTTTCACTTCTGTACCTCTGGTGTCTACCTACTGTCTGACATGTAATAGGTGATTAGTAAATATTTGTTGAATGAATAAATGAATATCCTTGTTCATCATTCCAAATGCAGGTCCCTCTGGGGGGCCCTCAGTCCTTTCCTGCCCTTTTATTCCCTTGATGCTCTCTGCTTCATTCCCCCGAAACCAGCTGCGCCTTCTTGCCCACCTGCAGCCTTTTCAGATGCTCTTTTGCCCTGGGTTGCCTCATGGATTGTGGGCAGTGAGGTCCCCATGCTGGATTGTCTACAAGCAGAGGGAGTGTATGCACCTGTCAGGCCCTGGCGGGTAGGACACAGATGAGTGACCGTGGGATGGGGCAATGTGTGGTTCTCTGTGTCGTTACACAGTAAGTGAGGCCCCCAGAATGTCTGACGTGACAAGGGTAGGGTTCTCTCCACCCGTAACTCCGGGTCCCAAGTGCTGGGGACGGTGCACGGGGCTGTGAGCTGGCCTGTCGGGACTGGAGCGCACACCTGTGCCACCCACTCTGCCTGTGTCCCCCCCCCCCCCCGCCCCCTCCATGTCCCAGAGCTGCTGGGAAGCAATGGACAATCCAGGCCAGGCCTGTGATTGCCGAGTCAGCCTGAAGTGAGTGGGATGGCCAGCGCATGATCCCCATCCAGCTGCTGTTACCCATCCGGCCCCACTGCCCAGGAAAGGCTCTGACAAACCACGGAAGTAAATAAATAACTTAGGAATAATAAATAGGGGTCCGGCTCCCACGAGTGAGTACAGGCCCGCGCGGGCGACGCGACTGCAGGGTGTCTCCTCCGATTCCGCGCCCCCAGGGCCTGGGCTGACGCTTGGGGCCTCGGGCACGGCTGGGTTCTCCCGAGGCCAAGTCAGTGCCAGAGTCTGTGAGGAGCGGGTCCTAAGGTCTCCAGGGCTGAGGCGTCTGGCGTCTGCAGGGCGAGGACCCTGGCGCGGCAGGTCAGTCGTCCCAACGCCTCTCGAGGGCTCGTGGCCATCACTCCCCCCCCGCCCCCGGGCTGAGGCCTCCACCTCTGACTGAGCTCCCCGCCCCCCCCCCGGCGCCCGGCTCTCCTGCGAGAGGGCCCCGGGGTGCGAGGAGCCGCGGGGAAGGGTGCAGTCCGCCAAGCCCTGGAGCGAGGCCTCAGCCCAGGCAGCCGCAGGCAGTGGCCGACAGGCGGTCCACGGTCCTCCAGGTGCTGTTGACGTCCATGAAGGAGACCGCCTCGTAGCGCGTGGGGCGGCAGCACGGCTGGCTGACGGGCCGCGAGCCCGGGGGCGGCCGCAGGGCCCCGGCGCCCAGCAGGCTGGCCAGGCTGAGGTCGTGCGGCGAGCGCGCGCGGCGGCAGGAGCCGCTGCAGAAGCGGAAACGCACCAGCTCGTCGGAGCTGTGGCCCAGGCCGAGCGCGCGCACCGGCACCAGCTGCGAGCGCAGGCGGCAGCCCCGCGCCCCCGCCGTCCGCGCGCGGCTCCCCCGGCTCGCGCGGCCGTCCCGGCCCCCGGCTCCCGCCGCGCGGCCCCCCCGGGCTGGCGCGGGCGCGGGCGGCGGGGGCGCGGGCCGGGGCGGCTGGGGCGACGGCCGCCGGGCTCTTCCGCCGCACGTGCGGGCCGCGCGGCCCCCTGCAAGGAGACTGAGTCACGCTCGGGACCCCGGGCCAGCCCCGCCCCGCCCCGCCCCCTCGCCCTCTCACCTACCGGGCAGGTGGCCGGTGGGGGGCGCCGGGCCAGGAGCGGGGCCGAGGCGCCGGGCGGGACTGCGGGGCGCGGGGCCCAGGGAGGCCTCGGCGACGCTGCTCAGCAGGGCCAGAGCGGCCAGGGTTGGCCACAGGGCAGGCTGCGCGGAGACAGAAGCGGCGCCTCAGGGAGGAATCGGACACCCAGGTCGGCTCGGGGTGGAGGGAGCTCAGGAAGGGGCTGGGGCGGCGGGGATCAGAGAGAGTATGGGCGCTTAGGTGGGTGGGGGGAGCTCCCGGAGGGTTTAGGTTGGAGGATAGTGGGTCCGCTGCCTCAGGGAGCCCAGGGCAGAGATCACTGACTTTCCTCCTTACTCCTGGTTCCTCCTTGACCATTTCCCCTTCCGCTTCTGTCGCCAGCCCCGGCCAAGCCCTGCGCTTCCTCCCCAATCAAACCACCTTTCCTCGGTTCCAGGTGGCAGTCCCCCGGGAGAACCACTCACCTGCCGCCTAGGCTGGGGACAGTGGGGCAGCACAGAAGGGCTTCCACATCCGGGCTCCATCTCTGTCAATACCAGGAGCGCCCATCAGCCGTAGTCGACTTGCTCCCGCCCCCCCTCCTCTTGAGGCAGCTTGGAGCATTGAGAGAGGAGTTATCCTTTGAGCAGGTCATCCCTCCACTTCAGTGTCTCCAGATGAAGTACAAGGGGCTTGGACAGCTGGACTCAACCCAGGTCGAGAAGTAACTGCATTGAGAACCTAACTGTGTGTTGGTGCTTTGCACCTGTTTCCCTCTTTCAGTCCTCACAACTCCAAGAGGTAGATGGCAAGTAAGACTCAGAGAAGCTCGGCAGCTGCCTACCATCCCAGGTCTCTTTCCCCGGGGCCTCGCTGCTCTGTCCTGCAGGGCTGGAGCTGCCAGGAGCAGCTGGAGAAGGAAGTAGTTGGACGCACTGGGTCCCACAGAGAGCTTTGTCTCTATGTCACGAGCAGGAAGATGTGGCCTAGAGAAGATTTAGGGTGCTTGCTGTTGACCTATCTGATGTCAGCGACACCCCGGCCTCAGCCTGTGTTGCCCGCCCAGCGCCGCTGCACCTTGCTCCTCTGTGATCTCTCTGTCTGGACCCAGAGCTGCCAGAGTTCTCTCTTCTCAACCACAGATGGTCCCTCAAGAGCCCCCGGTGATGGGGGCTGATGGGCCCTCTAACATAGGGCCTGGGCATGGCTCCCTGTGGCCACCAGGGGGCAGCATTGCCAAGCCTGCAGACTCAAAGGGGGGGTGGGCTTTTGGCGGCCCTCAAATAGACTCAGGGCTGAGCAACTCCCAGGAGGGCCCTCCTGGCCTCCACTTCAGCCTGGTCTTTGAGAGCTGGTCCAGGTCTGTTGCCCTTCCAGCTTCCTGTGGGTCTGGCAGCCTGGCCCTGCTCCTCTAAGTTTCCCCCACGAGCCATCCTTCCTGAGCCCAGCCATCCTTTCTGAGCCCCACCAACCCTTTGGTGAACCCACCCTCGCTGGCATTCCCAAACACCCCTCTGGGGCCCTAGAGCCCTCACCAGCTGGTCTGCCCTTGGGTCCCAGCTGTCACCATCCACCCCCACCCCATAGCACACAAAACGTCTGCATACCTGTGGACCAGACCTCCCCAGGCCTCCCCGGTGTGCTCCTCCAGGGCCAGGCCTGCTCTGCTAATTGAATCAGGCCTTGAGGGGCCAGGCTAGTGACTGTTCTCATTGCCGGAGGGAAAGCCGGGCCAGGCAGCCTCAGTGACCCCCTGCGCTAGAGGGAGCTCAGGAGCAGGTCTCTTGAGGGCAGGTCAGGCCCAGTCTCCCTCCAGTCCTTGCTTCCCCGCCTGCCAGCCGGATACTCACCACAGGGGTCCTCCTCCGTGGTTCTTCTAGGCACCTTTCCTGGGACCAGTGCTGGGCTTTCCCCCGCAGCTTAAAAGGCTCATGCCCAGGACTGTGCACCTGGCAGCACCTTTTTTAGCCAAAAGCGTGGCCTTGGCAGCCAGTGTGCGCCCTGTAGCTGCAGCGGGGACCTCACATTAGAGCGGGCCAGCGCAGTCCGACCAGCGACAGGGGGACTGAGGGGGCTGGGAGGGGCGGAGACCTGTGCCTCCGGCCCAGGAGAGGGAGGACGTGGGAAAGGAGTGGAGGGGAACTATCCCGCCCGCTCCCCCGAGCCCCAGGGCTGGGCCAACAGGTTGGCTTACCGCGGTGCAGGGCTCTGGGTCCGGGCCGCAGTGAGGGCTGGGGCCCGAGGGACCTGCTGCTGGCGGAGCCCGTGGTCCGTGTCTGGGGGCCGGGCCCAACTCCATCCCTCAGCAGCCTCATGCCCGCCGCCATCTGGTGTCAAATTCCAGCCCCGGCGTCACCGGATCCCGGGGTGGGGCCCGGAGCGCCCCCGCCCAACCCCACCTTTCAGGGCTCACCTGGCCGCTCCACCTGCTGGGATCTGGCCCCCCCCCGGGCTACGCTGGGTCCCCCGAGCCGGGCGGGGGCGGGGGGTGGGGAGGAGACGCTGGGAAGGGACCCTGGGACCCAGAGCGGAGAACCCGGGAGGCGGAGAGGCGCGGGAACTGGGCGTTCAGAGTTTGTAGACGCGCGAAGTAGGGAGTTGGGAGGCTGGGCGGAGGGCGGGGAGGGAGGGGACAGGCCGGTCCCTGCCTCCGCCGTGGGCCCTGAGATGGGTGCGGTCTCCTGGGTCCCGGCTGGCCGACCCGCCGCGGCTGCTCTCCGCTATCTGGCCCACCTCTAGCTTCTTCTCTCAGCAGACCCACGGAACTTGTCGGGTCGGTGAGGTGCTGCGCTGGGGCGCTGGAGGTCCGACCCCGCTCCAGCCGCCCAGCAGCCCTGCCGCCCGCCAGCAAACACGGTGCTCCCCGGGCCCTGCCGGGGCAGTGCTGGTAGGAGCGGGTGCCCGGGCCGAGGAAGGGAGGGTCACAGAGGAGATGCACGTGCACGGCTGGAGGGTAGTATTTCAGGGGCCTAATTACAGCAATTTGGCAGGTGAGCTGGAGGTTGAGTAACATGGATAGAGGTAAGGGAAGGCCAGATCCTTTGTGTCATACTGGGGAGTCTGGACTTCATAGCAGTGGCCCTGGGGACCACTGAAGGGTTTCAGGCAGCAGAATGGTGCGACCAGACATGCATTGCAGTGACTGGCTGGTCTGGGGGAGACGTAAGGAGGCTGCTGGGGAGACAGGGGTCTGAAGCAGAGACGTGGGGTGAGCAGAGGGCTGCAAGGCTTTTCAGACCACATCTTCTTGAAAACTCAGTTGGTGCCTGATTGGATGGGATGAAGAGGTAGGACAGACAAAGGCGCGCCTCTGGCCGGGGTGACCATGTGGAGGGGCTGCGTGCCGGCAGCTGGGGCTCCCTCGAGGAGGACAGACTGGAGACAGGAGCTCAGGAGTTCAGTGTCAGATGTGTGGTGGATTACCCTAGTGGTAATGTTCAGGAAGTGGCTGACTGTGTAGCCTGGAGCAAAGTGGAGAGAGCTGGGCCGAAGAGGGCGACCAGCTGCCAGTGGGGAGCCGTGGGTGGGGATGAAAGTGCTCAGGGGGCGTGTGTGGACCAGCTATACCTCGTCTATGCATCAGGATCTCCTGTGGACCTTTAAAAACCACCTACATCTGGGCCCCACCCCAAACCTGAATCAGAATCTTGGGGTGGGCATGTGCAGATCTTCCAGCTTGCACAGGTTAGTCTGGTGTATGGCCAGGGCCGAGAACCACAGCTTTGTGACAGCAGGTTCCGTGCAGTGGAAGCCAGACCACGGAGAACTGCTGGGTGGGGGGAGGTGGCTGTCCACAGGCCTGACAGGACCCCTGTGGGACAGGGGACCGAGCAGTGAATAGCTCCTCTCTTTGCTGCTTCCTGCAACCTGGGACTTGGTCAACCATGGCTGCCTCTTGTAGGCCTGCAGCCTAGGCCCCGTACAACTCCAGGGGGCACCCTTCCCGTAGACTACAATGTGCACTGGAGTTGTGCCCTGTTTCCAGCAGCATCCCAAGGGAGTTCTGGGTGTGCCTGTCCCTCCGTCAGGGCCCGACTTTCCCCTCAGAGGCGGTTTCTGCCTGAGGACAAACCACAGCAGTCAGGGGGCATGTGGGATGCTGGTGGCCCTTGGGATGGCAAGCGAGAGGCCAGGGGGCCAGCCAGCCTCTCTTAACTGCCACAGTGGCAGCTCTGACAGGAAGCTCACTCCATGCCTCTGATGCAGGTGTGTTTGTCCGGATCTCAGGCCTGCCTGGGGTCGCTGCGAGGGCAGCGATCAGATTCTAGGGCTCTCGGGGTGGGGGTGGGGGTGTTCTTTCCCAGGTTTACCTGAGGGTGCCTAGAGCTGGGCTCTGCCTTTCTGTTCTGTGTGGCTAGAGGGGGGCTGTGGGGAGAGGGTGTGCCTTTGTGCTTTGGGTGGGGGTGGGGCATATTCTCTCCGGAGCTCAGCCCGGGGTGTCAGGAGCAAGTGTGGTCTGTGAGTCTGTGTCAGGGGGCTCAGCACATAGCTTTCTTGTGCTTGCAGGAATCTCTGTCCCCGCAGAACTGGGGCTCTGGGGACCCGGAGGTGCTGTCCTAGGGCCGTGGATCTCTACCCCCTGCCCTCTGGCTCCTTTAGGGTAGGGTAGACTCTGGGGCATGCCCTCGTACCTCTGGTCTGCCTCTCTTAAGGCCAAGAGGGTGCAGGACTGTGTGGGATGGGAGAGGCTTCCGAAGGCCCCCAGGTGGCTCCCCAGGTCCTGCAGTTGACAGGAGAAGAGAAAGGGACCGAGGAATCTGTGGGCTAGAGAGATGGCCCTTGGGTTTAATGGAGTTGCTGAGGCCCCAGTGTCCTGCTTCTTCCAGGAGAGTCAGAGAAAGCAAGCGGAGACCAGATTCAGGGAAGAGCTTTATTGCTTCCAGGATGGCTGCCCAGGGTGGCTGCCACAGCCTGGGTAAGGTCCTTGAGCCTCACTTCCCTCTGGTCCAGGCTGAAGGCAGAGCCCAAGGACCTGACAGTGTCGTTGCCGAAATCTAGAACAGCTGCCAAGTTGGTCAGTCCAGGCTGGGGCACTGTCCTGTGGATCAGCTGCAGCGGCGTGGAGCGGGGGGGGGCAGGGGGCGGCAGGGGGGGGGGGCATTCCCATCACGCTAGGCCAGGCCTCGCCACCCGAGCTCTGAACTTCTCTCTGCTTAACCCAGGGTCTGCCTTGTCGGCTTCAACGATGGCTCCAGGGTTTCCCTGTGGCGTAGTTAGGGGCTGGTGCATGGGAATACCCCATCTTCTCCTCAAGAAAGGCCAAAACAGTGTCATGGGCTGGAGGGGGTTGGCATGAGATCCTGCCCACCTCCCTCTAGCCCCAAGCAGGGCACAGGCTAGTCACGGCACCCCCACTCTACAGGGAGCCCGACGGGCCCCCTAGTGGGCCTCTTTCTGCATGGCAAGTGGACCAAACTTGACATCTCCAACCTTATTTAAAAATAAATTATCCCTCCCCTCCCCCCCACCCAAATTCACAAAATGATAATACACCAAACACTGATTGGAGAAATGAGTCCAGCAGCAGCCTTGCAGCCTGATGTCCACCTCCTGCATGCTGGGCCTGCTGGGCACGGCCGGCGGCCTCCCGGCCCTCTGGCTTCAAGGCCCCAGGCCGAGAACGAGGCCAAGCGCTGGTCTCTGAGGCTGGCCTCTGGGCAGACACAGCTCTGGCTGCCCTGCCAGGGCCTCGCCACCCCTGCGGCCACTTGGCACTGTCCTTCTCTGGGTCTGAAGACTCCTGCACCTTTCAGGCGGAGCCAGACTGAGGCCAATGGAGCGGGCAGGTGGCGGTGCTTGCTGCTTCCCCGTAGCGGTGCCAGGACCTCCGTGGCCGCGTGCTGGGCCCACCTCAGATGCCGCTGGTTAGGTCAGTGATGACTCGTGCTTTCACCAGCTTCCGCAGAAACTCTTTCTCCCGCTGGATATTGTGTGTCCAGGACTGAAAGGAAAGGCACAGGGAAGGGATGAGTGGAGCTCAGTGCTCTCTTCTGCCCATTGCTCGCCCAGTGCTCTGTGATTGTGGGAAATCTGCTCATCCTCCTCCCTTCCCACAACCCCTTTCTCCGCCCTACGAGAACTCTGCCTCTCCTCTTCTTCCAAGTGTTCGAAGATGGAGGCCTTCCGACCCCCTATTCCCCCAGACGTCACCTCCTTGTCCGGCAGCGCGTCCAGGGCACCTAGGTCCTAGGCACCCTGAGGGTAGGCCATGTGAGTCGGTGAGAGCTGGCCCAGGCCTGGGGGAAGGAGAACCAAGTGGGGTGGCTTAGTCATCCTCTGGCCTGATGCAATGCGCATTGGTCTCCAGGCTGATGAAATCCTGCCTCCTAAATCAGAGGAGCCAGGGGGCTGAGGACAAGAGGCTCACCTTTCTGTGAATGTGGAAATTACAGGGAAGATGACGCCTTCTGGGCTTTCCTGGGCGAAGACTGCACCCAGGCTCAGACTCTGTCCTGTCCCCAGAACTCGCACCAGGAGGCTCTGGTGGCTAAGTCTCTCAAAGAATGAAAAAAGACTGACTGACTCAGGGAAAGCGGACAGCCTCTCCGTAGTTTGTACACCCCTGACCGCTCTGTGGGAACCTCATGGCGGTGTGCACGGGAACCGCTGGCTGGTGCAAAGGACCCAGGGCTCTGTCCTGGCCCTATTCTCATCCCGTCAACTTTCTGCAGCTTGCCAAATCTCTTCAATCAGAAACGCAGGCCAAATTCCCTGTATCCTCTGACTATGCCCTTCGACTTCTTGGGCTAACCATGAACCCGGCTGCCCCTAAGGACAGTGTCCCTCAGACACATCTCAAATGGTGACTGTTTCTTCTCCCCCACTCCACGCCCATGGCACCTGGAAGGTCTGCAGGGTCTGCCTCCTCTCTCAACCGCTGCGACTACACGACTGTCCCTCCAAACTCCCTAAAACCTCCAGCTCCCTCGAGGCTCCTGTCATGACACTCTGCTGTCTGAACTGTCCCTTCCTGTTGCAGACCCCCAGCATGCTCTGCCCTCATCCCTCGAAGAGTCAATCGTCTGGCACACTGTCTCTCTTTGAAGGCAGGGACTGTTTGGCTGGCACAGTAGGTGCTCAATAAAGATGTGCTGAATGAAATTCGATTTTGTGGGTTAAGAACACAGAGGCTTGGGGGAATGGCAGGGCCAGGATCCGAACAGATGTGTAAACTTATACTGCTCTTTCCTTATGTCTCCCCTTCATCACCCCCAGGAAGAAGCAACCAATCTGATGGGTTAGTTTTAAGAACACCCATTGGGAGTCACTGATGGTTGAAAGCTCAGTGGAAGAATGGACATTGTTTTTAAAGCGGATTTATTTATTTATTTATTTATTTATTTATTTTTACATTAATCTCTACACCCATTGTGGGGCTCAGACTCATGAACCCGAGTTGCATGCTCTTCCAACTGAGCCAGCCAGGCACCCCAAGACTGGACATTTTTTGTGATATTAAGGAATTATTAATTTTTTTAGGTGTGATAATGGTATTGTGATAATTTTTTAAAAGTTCTTATCTTTTAGAGAAAGCTACTGAAATATTTATGGTTGGAATGATATGATATTTGAGACTTATTTCCAAATAATCAGTGGGGAGGGGTGCATGAGAGGAAGAACAGATGAACACTGGCCATGTGCTGCTAACTGAGGGAAGTGGGTCACAGGTGCCTGAGAGTTCATCATATTATTTTCTACATTTATGAATATGTTTGACCGTGTCCATAATAAAATAGTAAACAAAAAGGTTGGCCCTGGGCTGTAGCTCTCTTAGACCAGGCAAGGCCTCCTCACTCTCCCTTCCATGCAGACAGCACAGGAGCTTACCAGAGCTGTCTACACCGTGTTGTCTACACCATATACGGGCTGGGGCAGAATTCTGGCAGTCCTGGGTCCCCAGCCACAGCAGGACTCCTGATTCTGGATGCAGCTGTCCTTGTGACAGCTCTTTTTCCATCTCCATCTCTGGCTCCTCGTCCTTCGCCCAGTCATTAAACCCTGGTGCTGCCCCGACCGCCTGTGCTTCGTACTCTACTGGCTGCAGACCTGAACCGGCAGCTGGGCTCACAACTCACAACTGGACGTTTCCAGCCCGAGTTTCTCCGCCGGGCCGCACAGTCCTGTGTGAGCCCACTTCGGCCCTGAGCAAGCTGCTGCTCTATCCCCTTCCTCCTCCTCCTTGTCCCTGCTTCCCTGGAGCACGTACTGGGCACCATGCCTGCCTCTCTGCACTGCCTTTACTCCCTGCGCAGCCACTGGCCTTCGAAGCTGCTCTCCCCATCGTCTGCGGGGCCTCCTCACCAGTGCAGCCACTGGCCATTTCCCAGTGCTCCTCTTACTGGACTTCTTGACAGTGCCTGACGTGGGGGACAGGCCCCGAACACTGCTCCCTTGGTCTCCACGACCCTGCACCTTCCTAACTCCTCCCTACCTTCACTCTGTCTCCTCTCCGAACTCCTTTGATGTCCCTTCCCTTGGATGTCCCCCAGCACGGAACCCGTGCTCTGCTTGTCTCCACGGCCCACCCCCTCCTGCTGGGCCTGGAGAACGGGCCCCTGGGCCGAGCGGAGGGAAGCGGTGTTGGGGCCAGGGTGCTGAACGGTTCACCTGCTTCCTGCAGACCCTCAAGGTGGACAGCAGGGATGCTAAACCCAGGCACCGGCATTTCCAGTGAATCTTCCGCCAGGATACCGGGAGGGAACGGCGATAAGTACAGATAAAACAATAATGGCGGGGCGCCTGGGAGGCTCAGTCGTTACGCGTCTGCCTTCGGCTTAGGTCATGATCCCAGGGTCCTGGGATCGAGTCCCACATCGTGCTCCCTGCTCGGCGGGAAGCCTGCTTCTCCCTCTCCCACTCCCCCTGCTTGTGTTCCCTCTTTCCCTGTCTCTCTCTCTCTGTCAAAAAATAAAATCTTTAAAAAAATAAATTAAAAAAACCATTAATAATAACAGCTAACATTTATGAGTGCTTACTATGTGCCAGGCCGTTTTTTTTGGTTTTTTTTTTACCCATTATCGTGTCTAATCTTCCCCAAACCTAGGGGGTGGGTGCTATCATTCTCCCCTTACTGGGAAGGAAAGAAAGGTTCTAAACCCAGGACATTTGATCTCATAGCTTGAAGTCCCCAGCACCCTGCACGGGGTAGGCACAGCCGATGTCGTGAGCCTCAAGCCAGCCACTTTCAGAGATAATGGGGTGGGGCTGGCGGGGGGGGCAATTTGGCCCAGAAACTGAAAAAGAAAGAAAGGAAACAGGATCCACCAGAGGGTTTCAGGGAAGGTGCAGTCTTCCCTCATTCCTGCACTGAGACAAGACCTACTGATTGAAAATGCAGTCTCTTCTCTGGCTTCTCATCGCCTCTGAACAGTTCCTGGCCAGGAGCCTTCGTCTCTTGCCTAGACTGCTGGAACAGCGGCCCGGCAGGATCGATCTCTGCCTCGTGCCCCTCTGTTCCGTGCTGCAGCCAGACTGGCCTACTACACGCTAATCTACAGCCCAAAAGCCTCCCGTAGCTCCTCCTGACCTTCAGAGTCGAGTCCCAACTCCTCACCACGGCCCACGAAGCCCCGCGTGAGCTGGTTACGGCCTCGCACCCTCTGCCTGGGACTCTGACGCAAAGTGCACATAAAAGGAGTAAGAGGCCAAAGATTCGAGCAAACAGAAGCCAGGAGACAGGTGGAGGCAGTGCTAGTGGTTCAGAGTGGGGGCTGGCAAGGCCAAGAAAGCAAGAAGATACACGAGGAGACACAGATGGAAAGACCAACGGGCTCCTGGCAACAAGGAGGCAGGTCTGGAACCACTGCTGAGAGGGGCGGCATCAGTCGGGAGCTGTCCTAGCCCCGGGACGGGCCCCCCACCCTGAACCCCATTCCAGGCTACCCTAGGGGCCCCGCTGTAAGGCCGTTCCTGGTTTCCCAAGTCTCTCTTAAATTCCTGCAGTAACTTCTCATCACTTGAGGTGGCCTGAGTGAGCAACATGCGTGCAATCATACAGAAGGGGATTCAAGCCACGGACGGGGATGTCAAGCTCCTGGAGAACGTGGACAGTGAGAAGACGGTCCAGGACAGAGCCCTAGCGAGTGTTGATTCTTTTGGGGTGGACTGAAATCAAGGACGCTGAGGAAGAGAACGAGAGAGACCAGCAAGTGAAGTGAGAGGAACACCAGAGATTACGGACTCGCAAGTCTGAGCAGGAAAAGTTTCAAAGAGGAAGGAGTGATCAACATAAAAAGCGTTTCTGAGAGGTCAGGAAGGATGAGGCTTACACGTGTCCACTGGATTTGGCAGCCTTGAGCTGAGTCACTGGTGACCTTAGTGGGAGTCATGGGGGAAGGGGGAAGCCAGGCTGTGAGGGAGTGAGGAGGGCAGAGAGGACAAGCCCGCAGGAGTTGCCGGAGTCCCCGCTGCAGCCTCTTTTCCCACGGGACGAGGGGGGCGGAGAGGGGGCCAGGGCTCTGGGTTGGAGGAGGGCGTGTGAAAGGTGATGAGCAGGAAGGAGGGCTGACTGAGATGGGAACCCCTGCATTTACAGAACTAGGAATCTGCACAGAGGGGAGGCGTCCTCCAACACCCCCTCCACCCCAGCCCCCCATGTGGGAGCAGAGAACCTGCTCAAAGCGCTGGCCCAAGATGTGCAGGTCCCAGGCTGGTGTCAGTGGAAGGCTGGTGGTGGCAGTGGAGGGGACTGTAAGAGGCGTTCACAGGGGCTCTGGATGTGAAGGCAGAGATGCTGTCAGAAGAGGCTGACTGCCAGCCCCGAGACCCGGAATGCTTCTTGAACATGAAGGCACCTGGACATATGGATCACCTGGGAAGCCATTCTGGGTGATCAAGAGCATCAGTGCTTCAGGTCTTCCTTCACAGGGGAGGGCAGAGGGGTACAGGGACTGTCCCGGCACAGAGAGGCAATGTCTCAGGGAGGTTTGAGGGGGCATGGAAGTCTTCTGGGCGAAGACAGGGCTTTCGATGGAGAAGATGGCTCTGAGCTAGTGCCAGGATTAGCATATGGCATTTGGGAATAGCAAGGATGAGGCAGGTGCAGGAAAAGGGCAGGGAGAGGGCCAGGGAGGGAACGTTTGGGGCGAGAAGGGTGGGGAAGGAGGTGCTAGGTTCAGGGGCACAGAGGATGCGTGGTGATCAGAGACCTGAAGGCAGGGATGGACCTCCAGTGACCCAACTTTGCGAACTCTGGGCAGCTGGACCAGCCACTGGCTCACCCCTTTCCGCTGGTTTGTGCTGGGAGCACCCCTCCCTCGGCCCCGCCCAGGGATGCCCCCCGCCCAGCCCGGCACCTCTTTGATGGCTGCCATGCGCACGGTCTCATAGTAGTGCAGGGGTGCATTGGGCGTGCTCATGTCGTAGCCAAAGCCTGCGACTGCCACCTCGTCACAGCCGTGTAGTGCCATGGTCACTGCCACACTGCCAAGGGTTGGGATGTTCTGGAGGGGACGGACGAGGTGCAGAATTCAGCTGGAGAACTGAGCCAGGCTGAGACCCTTAGCCGCACTCACCAGAGCTGAGCTCCATTTCCGAGGACTAGGCCCCCTGCCCCTCACCCTGCCACCCTGGCCTCCCCTCCCAAGGCATCTCTGACCCTGCTCCCCGTGCCCTCTCCCAGGGCCCCGCTATCTCACCCCGCGGCCCATGAGGCCATTGTTGAAGGGCAGTCCGATGAGGGTGAAGGCGGCCTCCTGGATGAAGTATGGGTTGAGGATGCGAATCTCAGGGGGCTCCTTGGGCACCCGCGTGGCCACAGATTTCCAGAAGCCATCTGATGCACTCTGCAGACACAGCATAAGTGGGCGTGAGCTGGGCACACAGCTCGCCATGGGACCATGTGTGTGTGGCAGGGCCCCAAGTGTGTACAGGCAAACGAAACAAGTGGGGCATGATGTATATACTGGTGAACCCAGGGCATGGGGAAGAAACACCATGGCAGAGGGATGAGCTGGTGTGTTGGGGTCAGGGGTCGGGGGGGATGACACAGGATGTATGATAGAGACAACAGTATGTGGTGGAGGACAGTGAGCACATGGCGGGGCCACAGAGTATAAGGGAGGACACAGAGTGAATTGCAGGGCAGGGGCACACAGGGCGGTGCCCTGAGGTGTGCTCTTCTGGTCTGAGGAGATTCTTGGATCAGCAGGAGGACCGAGCAGCCCAGCTGTCCCCTCCCCTTTGCAGTTAACTGAGGGGCCCACGAGGAGCCTGCCCTCTCTCTCCTATCTGCTCTGCTGGGCTCGCCTCCTTTCCCTTCTGCTGTCTCTCCTTGCTTTCAGTCAACTGTTCTAAAGTGAACCTGAAAAATAAGGACAGAACGTGAGCTAGTAAGGCACAGCGGAACACAGTAAGCCACTGATTAGCAGTGGGTGACTTTAGGCAAGTGACAAGCTCTCAGAGCTTTAGAGTCTTTATTATTATTTTTTTAAAGATTATTTATTTATTTATTTATTTATTTGAAAGAGAGAGAGAGACAGCGAGCAGGAACACAAGCAGGGGGAGAGGGAGAAGCAGGCTTCCCTCCGAGTGGGAAGCCCGATGCGGGGCTCGATCCCAGGATCCCGGGACCACGACCCGAGCCAAAGGCAGATGCCCAACGACTGAGCCACCCAGGTGCCCCAGAGTTTTAGTATCTTTAACTGCAAAGTGGAGATCTCAGGGAGCCCAGTCCTGTATGGGAAAGGCGTCAGCTCTCAAACCTGACATCCCAGCATCCATTCCAGGGCCACAACGTCCTCTCCGGACTCTCCCTTCCTCCAGTCCCCAGCCCTACCTTTGTGTCCAGTACCCAAGCCCTTTCTGGTCTAGTCCCTGAAGTCGGTCACTCTAGGGAGCTTTCCTGTGAGCTCCTTCAGCCCCCTGCCCCTTGCCCTTCTATTGCCCCAGCCTCAGGAACCCCTGAACTTGGGCTTGACCCATTCAGCCACCTTTTCCACCCTTACAGCTGGACTCTGACTACTGTTGGAGAGAATTGCACCAACCTTGCAGACTGGAGGCATTACCAAGCCCATGGACTCTAACCTCGTATCTCAGGGTGTTTGTTATTTGCCTAGAAAACCTAAAAAAAAACAACTCAACTTAGAATGGAGAGAATAATTTAGTAATGGGATGTGCACTCCAACCAGATATAATACAAAGGAGATCCCATTTGCAATCCTAATGAAAAATATCAAATACTGAGCAACAGACTTAAAGATATGTGACCTGTAATAATAATTTAAAAAGCCTATAATCATTTATTGAGAGATATAAAAAGATGACTTGAAAAAAAAAAAAAACAGGAGAGACAAACTATGTTTTTGGATGGGAAGGCTGAATACTAACACAGTGCCAAGTCTGCCCAGATTCATGTAGGCTTAACAGAAGTCTAAGAAAAATCCCAATAGGACCTTTGAAATTTACCAAAAGGATTCCAAAAACCCATCCAAAATATTTAACAGGTAAAATAGCCCCCAAATTTAAAAATTAGATATTAGAGCATATTATGAATTTGCAATTGTTAAGACATTGGTAGATGTCTAAGAATCAACATAAAGATCAATGAAACAAGAGAGCCCAGAAGCAGAGCAATATATACGTATATATGTATCAGCTTAGGTTATGATAAAGGAAGCTTCACCGTTGGTGGGCACAAGATGATTTTCCCAGCAAGTGGTATTTGAAAATTGGCTCTTTAGAAAAAAGATCCTTTTACTTCCTCTCCTCACACTGTGCCCAAAATAACTAAATGCTGAAAAAGCAAAACTAAAAGAAAATTGAGGTGTATATTTTATCACTGAACTTTTTTTTTTTAAGATTTTATTTATTTATTTGACAGAGAGAGACACAGCGAGAGAGGGAACACAAGCAGGGGGAGTGGGAGAGGGAGAAGCAGGCTTCCCGCCAAGCAGGGAGCCCGATGCGGGGCTTGATCCCAGGACCCTGGGATCATGACCTGAGCCGAAGGCAGATGCTTAACGACTGAGCCACCCAGGCACCCCTATCACTGAACTTTTGACATGTTAATGCAAATATTAGAAATAAATTAAAAAAAACAGATTTTGACTTTGTAAACATTCTTAAGAGCTTTGGTATATCAAAAATAGAATAAGTAAAATTATGAAGGAAACAAAAAAGTGAGAAATATTTTGTCACAGATAATAAGACATATTTTTAAAATTCATGAAAAAATTAATGGGACACCATAAAAGAACATAAAATAAGGTTAACAAACTCAATAGTGACAAAGAGATGCAAATTAAAATAAGATGCTCTGTTATCCTCTAAAATATGTGTACGTGTGTGTGTGTGTGTGTGTGTGTGTCCGTGTACGTATCTCGGTGCCTGTGGTGGTCGGCACACCCCGCTGGGATTCTCCTGCATTGCTATAGGAGTAAAATCGGTAGAGCCTTTCTAAAAAGCAACCTGACAATATGTATCAAAAGCCTCAAGGCTGTTTTTGTATCTGATGACTGCAACATTTCTCTTCTAAAAGTAATCAGGATGGTGAAGACCTTTGTAAAAAGCTGTTTACGCCAGTGTTGTTTATGAAAATGCAATTCAAACCAGAGGAAAATCCAGAAATATACAGCAGAGGTTCAGCTAAATGATCCATCTCTATAACTGAATGTTACAGACATCAAAAGTATGTTTTCTAAGAACCATGTCACCAGCATGTATCATAACTTATTGAACCAATCCACTGTTGCTGGATGTGGTTTGTGGTTTGTGGTTTCTCCAGATCTGCTCTGTCTCCTCTTCTACTCTCTGGATGTTCTTCTATGTCTTCTACTATCTGTTCTCTCTTCTACTATCCACCCCATCTTCTAAACCAGAAACCCGGGAATCCACACTGGATTCTTCATGTCTCCAGCCCATTCTGGCTTCCTGGTCATCTGCTTCTTTTGAGTCTATCTTCTCAGAATCCCACAGACCCAAAGGCAGGGACCACAGGACCCGGTAGGAAAGGGAAGGGTAGAGATGGCCAAGATCTTAGGCGGACGTGGGGAGGAGCCCCTGCTGAGAGGGCCAGGTGTGGACTGAAAGGAATGCAGGTACCAGCTTGTGCTGGGCCCCTGTCCCCTCTGTGGAGCCTGGCAGGCCCCAACGGTTCCCCACCTGGGGTTCCCACCCATGCCTGCCCTCCCCGCACCTGAAGAGCAGGAGGCACAGGGGCTGCTCAGGAGAGCCAGGAACGGGCACAGCTGGGGGGGGGGGGGGCGGTGCAAGGCTCCCGGCTAGTTTTCCCAGACCGTACCTGTTTACATCTCCTCCACTTTCACCCACTTCACAGGTACAGACCCCAAGAAGAAGCAACATGCTCGATCAAGGTCACACAAGTGGCTGGGCCAATATTCAAACCCGAGTGTCATGATGCCAAGATGGATGTTCTGCCACACCACTGACCATCGTCATTACTGTTCCCGCCTCAGGAAGTCTGGGGCCTGGGGTTAAGGATGAATGGGACCTCCCCTCTGCCCTCCAGCAGCTCCCAGGTGAGTAGAAGTCACCTGGTAAGGTGCCCCACATCCCATTTCACGGAGGCAACTGGGGCTCAGAGAGGCAAGGGGAGAATCTGGCTGGATCCAACTTCAGAATCTGGTTCTCCCCATGACATGAGATGTCCTCTCTGAAACAGGGCTTCCCACCTCCACCTTCAATTCCTTCACTTCCCTGCACAAATCCGATCCCGCACACTCTCAGGACTACAATGTCCCCTATGTGACTACTATGTGAAACTGTTGGAAATGAGCTCATTAGCTCTGCTCTCTGTGAGATTCTGCCCAAAGCTTCAGTGGGGAGGAGAAGCAGCTGATCTGGCCACTTAGGTTTGAGGGTACTGAGTGTCACATTTACTGGGATAAGGCAAGAAGTCTTTCTCTCTCTCTAACACACACACACATACACACACACACCCTCTTTTTAACTCCCTGCTGTTGTACAGCAGCGGGCCCAGCTCCTGATCAGCTTCTGCTCCCTGCCCCCGGGGAAAGGGGGCCTGCGGGTGGGTCTCGAGTCCCAGGGAGCCCTGCAGGAGAGCCCCGGAACTGACACACTGAGCCATTCAGCGGCGCTAGTTTCTTTTTTCCCATCTGTCACTGTCCTGAGGCAGAGTCTCCTCAGGAATTTCAGGGAAAGGAGGAATAAGACCAAGACATGATTCAGGCATTTCGGGGTTTCCCCAGCCGTAAAAACATCAAGTACCAACAAAACCCCAGCCTGTCTCCTATAATAAAAGCTACGGCTTCTCTTCTCAGAAAAACACACACAAGGGGCGCCTGGGTGGCTCAGTTGGTTAAGCGACTGCCTTCGGCTCAGGTCATGATCCTGGAGTCCCAGGATTGAGTCCCGCATCGGGCTCCCTGCTCAGCGGGGAGTCTGCTTCTCCCTCTGACCCTCCCCCCTCTCATGCTCTCTCTATCTCATTCTCTCTCTCAAATAAATAAATAAAATCTTTTAAAAAGAAAGAAAAGAAAAACACACACAAGCACATACACCTTACAAATTCTGTACACCGCTGCGGAGGGTCACGGGATCCCCTAAGTCAAGGGATCTGCTGACTTCTGCTGAAGAATCTTTGGTATCAGGATGGGGGAAATAGGGGACAGGCACTGAGGAGGGCACTGGGTGTTGTATGGAAGCACCGAATCACTAAACTCTACACTGGAAACTAAACAGACTGTTATGTATGGTAACTAACTAGAATTTAAATAAAAACTTGGAAAGGAAAAAAAAAAAGAATCTCTGGTCATCGGGTGAGAGGGGATGAGAACCCCATAACCACCAACACTGAAGGGGCAGG